CTGGATTGTTTTCTTTGTTGGCCTGTCTCCTAAGATCTTGATGCTTGGCAGCACCTGGGACTCTTTCCTCTGCTGATCTGATGTCACATCGCTGCCACTAAGCTTCACCTTCTTCAGACTCCTTGGTGATTGACAGAGTCTGGGACTCCTCACCTTGTTGATCTGATTCTGGTTATCTCCATGAGGCTCCAAAAGTCAGAGTTGGAGAACACTATATTCAAGGATCGTGCGTAGGGCCTCCTCGGGCTGAAAGCAGGCTCAGAACAGGATGGGACTGGTTCTGTTCTGTGGTGGGAAGTCAGTTCAGTTGTTCCACCTGATCATCACTTTGACTTCCAGAACTGCCTGAGCCCTCTCCCTCGGCAAATCTGACTCTGCTTCCCTCTAATTAAGGCGGTTACTTCCAGGTTCCCAGATTTGGAAATGAGGGGGGAGGGTTACTTATCCTGACAGCCCTGCAAAGGGTCTCCCAGGAATGACATCAGGATTAAAGTGGGATTCTAAGGGGATCACACTATTCTGTGGTGGGTGGACTCCTCAGCCCTCATTCATGAAGGTTTTCATCTCGGATCCTGACTGTGTGCTCAAAGAAAAATTTTAAAGAGAGCAGAATGATAATTATAATTCAGATTTAGTTAGGTGGCAGAGAAAAAATAAGATGAAAAGCAATTATAAAAAGCATTTTTAGTGTTTTATTTAATCACAGAAGCATCTACATTTACAGTCATACCTCATTTTATTATGCTTTATAGTTTTTTTGTTTATAATTTGAAGGTTTGTAGCAACCCTGCCTTGAGCAATTCTATTGGTGCCATTTTTCCAAGTTCAGATGATGGTTAGAATTTTTTAGCAATAAAGTATTTTTGAATTAAGGTATACACATTATTAGGAGATAATGCTGTTGTACACTTAATAGAGTATAGTAGTAACATAACTTTTATATGCACTGAGAAACCTAAATAAATAAATAAATAAATGATGTGACTTGTTTTATTGCAATATTTGCTTTATTGCAGTTGTCTGAACCAAACCTGCAATATTTTCAGTTATACCTGTATTTGAAAAATAGTGGCACACATGTGTGAGACATTTAGTTTAGTATAAAGCATAGTGGTTAAAAGCTGATTCTGGACCTACTTTGAATCCATCACTTGCTAACAAACTTTGAGCAAGTTATTTGCTTGTGTATGCCTCCGTTTTCTCATCTGTAAAATGAATAATAATTGTACCTACCTTTGTAGATCTGTCATATAGGTTATAAATTAGTTACTATACATAAAAAGCCTGGAAGAGTACCTAGCACATTGTAAGCACTATTGAAAGTGTTTGCGGGAGATTAAAAATGGCAATGGAGTAAGGGGAAGCTACACTGACACTCTCCCAGGACCAAACTGAAAATACAAATAAAATACTGAAAAAACCACCCTGAAAAATAAACTTAAGACTAGCTGGAGAGAACCCTGATAACCAAGGATGGAAAGTGGAGACCACATAGAGAATGGTAGGAAGTGTGGAGGCACAAAAGAGCCAGCCAGGATTCCACAGACAGCAGCTGAATATCTGGAGGGATTTCTCCGCCATGAGGAGTTCACATTGAGAACTCTGGAGTCTAAACCCCAATCCAGAGAACCAGAACTGAGAAAGGATCCCCACAGAACATCTGGCTGTGAAAAGCAACAGGGTTGCTGTGTGCCAGCCAGAGATGCCTGGATATACAGGTACCTTCTTAAAAGGCCAATGCACAAAATTTCAGTGCAGCCACTTACCTTGGGCTCCAGCACAGGGAGGGCCAAGTGGACTGGAGCTGTGTGAGGAGAGTCCAGAGTTGGGGGCTCTAGAGTTGAGCTCAGAAGACAGTCACTCAGTTTTCCTGTGCTGAGTCATTCCCTCATGCTACAGGGAATTTCTTTCTCTGGTGAACCTTTGCTATCCAGAAGGTTTTTGACTGGGGAGAAGACAGTTGCCCCCACCTTGTTGGAAGCCCTCTTGCACAACCCTATGGTCTATAGCCTGAGACAAATTACATCTCTGAGAATAACAGACTTCAGACCGAGGTGGATCTCTAGAGGCTTTGAGTCTTTGCCTAATTTCCTTCTGGGGTTGGGGCTAGGAAAAGCAGAGCCTGCTGTACATCTTGGTCCTTTCCAAAAGCACCCAGCCCCAGCAGAGGGAGCCACAAACTGTGGATTGCTGATAGCTCCAAAGAGAGGACCAGGGCCAGTCAGAAACAGCATCTGACATTGTCCTGCATTAGAGACTGGGAGTTGTAGCAGACCTACCTAATACATAGACACAAATAGGCAGACAAAGAAACAACCCCCAAATGAAAGAACAAGAGAATTCTCCAGAAGAAGAGGTAAACGACATGGATAAGAAATTTATTAGGTACAGAGTTTAGAATAATGATGTCAAAGATGCTCAACAGCATGAGAAAAGATATACTACTATGAAAAAAGACTAGTCAAAATAAAGAATGACATAGCACTAATAAATAATACATTGAAAGGAATACACGGCAGATTTGGGAAAGCCAGGGATCAGATCAGTGAATTAGAAAACAGGTCAGGAAAAAATCAGAGAACCAAAAAGAAAAAAAGTTAAGAAAACAGGACAGCCGAAACCGGTTTGGCTCAGTGGATAGATCGTTGGCCTGCAGACTGAAAGGTCCCAGTTTTGATTCTGGTCAAGGGCATGTACCTTGGTTGTGGACACATCCCCAGTAGGGGTTGTGCAAGAGGCAGCTGATCGATGATTCTCTCTCATCGATGTTTCTAACTCTATCCCTCTCTCTTCCTCTCTGTAAAAAAAATCAATAAAATATATTTAAAAACAAAAAACAGGAGGACAGTTTAAGGGAGCTGTGGGACAACATGAAATGTAACAATATTTGCATAATGGGTGTGCCAGAAGAAGAAAGTGAGCTAGGGATAGAGAACGTGTTTGAAGAAAAAACATAACCCAGTTATATGCTGTCTGCAAGAGGCCCACCTCAGAACAAAAGACTCACACAAAATGAGAGTGAAGGGATATAAAACATTTTTCCATGGAAATGGAAAAAAAGCTGGGGGAGCAATACTCATCTGACAAAATAGACTTCAAAATGAATGCCATCACAAGAGACCACACAGGTCACTACATAATGCTAAAGGGATTGATCCAACAAGAGGATTTAACCTGATAAGTATATATGCACCCAATATAGGAGCACCTAAATACATAAAAAAAACTTCTAGAATTTGACAGCAATATAGTCACAGAAGGGAACTTAACACCCTGCTGACCTCACTGGCTAGATCTCCCAGGCAAAAATTTAACAAGGAGACAGTGACTCTAAATGACACACTGCATCAGTTGGATTTAATTGACATTTATAGAACATTTCAGCTCAGTAAGTTGCAAAATATACATTTTCAATGACCCATGTTAGGACACAAAATAAGACTGAAATAACATCAATCATTTTAGATCACAATGGAATGAGATTAGAAATCAAATACAATAAAAACACTCAAAAACATTCAAACACATGGAAGCTAAATAGCAAGTTATTAAACAAGGAATGGGTTATCAATGAAGTCAAGAAAGAAATAAAAAACTTGCAAACAAATGAAAACACACACAAACAAAATATCTGGGACACAGCCAAAGCATTCCTAAGAGGGAAGTTCATAGCACTACAGGCCCACCTTAAAAAAAAAAAGAAAGAAAGAAAGAAAAATTAATAAATTATTTGATCCTACAACTTAAAGAATTAGAAAGGATAACAAGTTAGGCAAATTTTATGGTATACAAATTATACCTTTTGGCATATGGGATGATGCTCAACCAACTGAGCCACATTGATCAGGGTTTGTAAATTATACCTTAATAAAGTTTTAAAAAATAATTATTTTATGCCAACACAGATGAGTCTTGAAAATATGCTAAGCAATAAAGAAGCCAGTCACAAAAATCACATATTATATGATCTCATTTGGACTGACCAAGAGGGAAATGGGAGTGACTTGCTAATATTTGGGAGGGTGTTTTTTTGAGGTGATGAAAATGTTCTAAAATTATTTTGATGGTGATGGTTGCACAATTGTGTAAATATACTAAAAACAATTGAATTGTATACTTTAAATGGGTGGATTATGTGGCATGTGAGTTATCTCAATAAAACTGTTACGGGAAGTAAATAAAATTATATGCTATATGTGAAGGAGAATTAGAGGTAGGGAGGACTGTAGTAGTGGTAGGCCTGAGGAAGGCCTCACTGAGTAATAGTTGAGCAAAAAAAGTGAAAGAGATGAGAGACTGAGCCATATAGATTCTTGGGGGAGGAACTTTCTAGGAAAAGGTGATAATCAGTGAAAGATCTTGAGAAGAGAGCATTTCTGGCATGTTTGAGGAACAACAGTGAGGTCTGTATGGCTGAAATTGAGCAAGCAAGAAAGAGAGCAGTAGGAAATGAAGTTGAGAGAAGGAGGGATCATGTAAGGCTATTGTAAGCACTTTGGTTTTTACTGTGAGGGAGATGGGGAGACGGTGTAGAGTTTTGAGTAGAGGAATGACATCATCTGACATAGATTTTTAACAATGGCTGCGGTACTGAAAATAAACTGATGGACTGGAGCTGAGATGTTAGAGAAAGAGAAGATCAAAGATGATGACATATTTTTTGGCCAGGCAAACTGAAAAGGAGGGCGAAGATTGATAATGAGGCAGATTTGGGGGCTGGGGATGGCGGATGCCAGGAGTTTTTGACATGTTTGTGAAAGTCATCAGACATCCAAGGGCAGATTTGAGTAAGCAAATCGGATGTCTAAGTCTGGAATCTAGGGAAGAGGTCCTCAAGTAAAGATTGTATTTAAAGCTACGAGTCCTCCAATCCCTCAATATAATATACTTAATACGATAATATTTTATTTTCTTTCCCTTAAATAGGCTCTTAAATATTGTTGGCTTAATCTTCCCCTGCCTCCAAAGAAAATAAATATGTTTCTTTTCTTGTATTTTAGGATCTTCAAGATGAAGTTCAAAGGGAGAGTACTAACCTGCAAAATCTCCAGGCCCAGAAACAGCAAGTACAGGAACTCCTCGATGGGCTGGATGAGCAGAAAGCCCAGCTGGAGGAACAACTCCTGGAAGTCAGAAAGAAATGCTCTGAGGAGGCCCAACTGGTAAAGACTAGCCATTTACTGCTGTGTATTTACACCTTAGTTGCTTTCCCTGGCTTAAAATGGAAGCATTCTCTGTTTCTTGTTGCTGTCATTAGGTGGCAATCTCTAATCAACATCATGCACATGAAGGAAATGGAACTTAGTTCACTCAGAAATTACAGGCCTTCCTTAGGGAAAATAGGGCAATTAATGTACTATTTTTCCAAATTTTATTTAGAAGTATGTACCTGTGCCTTTTAACTATTTATTCCCTAATTGTCTTTTCTATCAAATGTTTACATTTAAAAATACCAAAATAGTAAACTAAACAAATAAATGTATTGTATTATGGAACATTTTAATGACATCTCTTTTTTTTATTCCTCTTCTCATTCACCTCCATATTATAGATCTCATCCCTGAAAGCTGAATTAACTAGTCAAGAATCGCAGATCTCCACTTATGAAGAAGAGCTGGCCAAAGCTAGGGAAGAGCTGAGTCGCCTGCAGCAAGAAACAACAGAATTGGAGGAGTGTGTGGAGTCAGGGAAGGCCCAGCTGGGACCTCTTCAGCAGCAACTGCAAGATTCACAGCAAGAAATTAGTTCAGTAAGTCTTTGTAGCTGCAAGAAATATGAGAAATATGCTCAGATGGGCCCTCACCTATCCTTGTAGTAAATACTTTCTCAACTTATGCTCTTTTCTCTCTCTGCCTAGTTTATTATTCATTTTTCAATAATTTCATACAAACAGGTTTCTTGTCACCTGTCATAAATTGTAAACTTTCATTTTGTACATGTGATAATAATAATTAGAGTCATGGTTAAGATGTACTTTAAGTGCTGGCTCTGCCACTTATTATCTGAATCACTTTAGCATCAGGTTCCTCATCTTTAAAATTGGAGAATTAATAATACCTCTGCCTCTCAGGGCTGCTGTGAGGATTAAATGAAGCAAAACCTGTGAGACATTTTATCATAGTGTTTGATACATAGATGCTAAGTGTTGGGTGTTTTTATAAATAACTAGAAGCCCAGCGCTTGAAATCGCAAGGCCCTGCCCACCCGAGTGTGCCCATACCCCTGCCCACCCGTGTCAGTCTTTGGTGGTTAGGGCATTAGGGCCATGGGCTCTTTATATATATAGATAACCCAGTATCTTGTGATTCTAATTTTGAAGTCAGTCTTGCTTATGTGGCAACTTTTAATTTTTAAAATAGAAAACTGGTTTTTATATAGATAAATGTGCAGTGTTGTGGTGAGTTCAGCATATAGATCCTTTGCTTTGTTATTTCTAGGCCTTTCTAAATGGAGAATATTTTATGTAATGATAGTATGATGGTTAGATAGGAGCATAGAGATCATGTAGCTATTAACTTAAAAATAAAAGGAAGGGTCTTTCGAAATGAGAGGCAAAAAACAAACAAACAAGGATTTATTTGAGATTAATAAGTATAGCTTATTTGGGACACACTAGGCAGAAACCCATATCATGTTTTTATGAGTAGAAGGGGGACAATTACATTGATTAAAGGAAGACATTTCTGTTGGTTCAGATAAATACAACATAGTGATCTTAATTCTAATTTTTTTTTAAATTGATTTTGTACAGAGAGGAAGGGAGAGAGATAGAGAGTTAGAAACATCGATGAGAGAGAGTCATCAATCAGCTGCCTCTTGCACACCCCCTACTGGGGATATGCCCGCAACCAAGGTAGTACATGTCCTTGACCGGAATCGAACCTGGGACCCCTTAGTCCCCAAGCTGACGCTCTATCCACTGAGCCAAACCGGTCTCGGCTTAATTCTAAATTTTTTTTGTTTATTTTTTTTAATTGTTGACACTATTACAAATCCCATTTTCTCCACCTTTGCCCAATTCCACCCAGTTCCCACCACCTCCTCCCCTTAAACATTTTTAATTTTCAGTCAAACAGTCATAATATCTGTTTTTGTGTTTGTGTGTGTTTTGTTTTTTGTTTGTATGTTTGTTTTTGTTTTTTCATTTGCAGTTTTTTGTGACACAGTGTTGCCCTAGACCCAGTCCAAAAGTTATTTTGCCATGTTTTTTGGTCATTCTTTGTTTGTTTGTTTTTTGTTGTTTTGTTTTGTTTTTTGTTAATCTTCACCTGAGGATATTTTTTCCCATTGATTTTAGAGAGGGAGGGAGGCAGAGAGAGAAGAGAATGAAAGAGAGAAACATATTAGAGAGAGACATCGATTGGTTGCCTCCTACACCTGCCCCCAACTGGTGTCCAGGGATCAAACCTGCAACCCAGGAATCAAACCCGAGATCCTTTGGTGTATGGTGACACTCTGACCACAGAGCCACACCCCTGTTTTAACATTCCAAAAATTTGAGTCATAAGATGTACAAAGCAGTACCTCTGGCATGACAGCTCTAGTTCCGTTTATTTATTTGGACATAGCCTATTCCTTTTATTTTGAATTTGAACAAACTATAACTATATTGTGTTAGGGTCGCCGAAGGAAGTACACAAGAGGCTGATAGTAGTAAAGATTTATAAATTTATTGGGTCAAGTGGAAACCAAATTGGCTGAGCTCCAAAATGGTGCTAGCATTCAGGGACGGTGAATCACAGATTTTAAAGGACTCTAGGTGAGCTTTTTCAGTGGGGAATTTTCTGGGCAGGTCCAGATCCTGGGCAAATTCAGAGGGTAAAGTTACTGCTCTTAGCAAATGGAATGTGGTCTAAGCCAAAGGGAATGTTGGTTATAAAATGATCTAATGGTCAGTTTCCCAGGGGAGGGGATATCGATTCTATTATTTGACAAGACCTAACATAATGTTTTTGAGATTCATCCATCTTGTAACATGTATCAACATTGTATTCCATTGAATGTTCATAGGTATTTTGTTTATTCCTTCCAAGTTAATGAACATTTGGAGTCTTCCTACTTTGGGGCTATCCTATATAATAAAAGCCCAGCAACCATAACATCCAGAACGACCACTCAACCTGTCGCTATGAGGTGCATTGACTACCTCTTAGTCCGTCCCGTCCCGTCCCGTGTGTGTGTGTGTGTGTGTGTGTGTGTGTGTGTGTGTGTCCCCGGCCCACAGGCTCAGATTGCAGCATGGCGAACAGAACCCGGGGAACCGGGTGGGTGGTGGCGGGGCAGAACTGGGGAGAGGCGAGTGGGCAAAAGGCAGACCTCTTGGTCCCTCCCCCTGGCCCACAGGCTCTGATCGATTTGTGGTGGTGGGGGGCACAGGACGAGACTGGCGAATGGGCAGAAGATGGCCCTGATCACAGGCTAGGCCTAGGAACCCTATCTGTACATGATTTAATGCGCTGGGCATCTAATCCTATGTAATAAAGAGGTAATATGCAAATTGACCTCATGTCCTCATCTTTATTTCTTACCTAGTACTTACAGCAGGAAAAAAAGCAAAGAACCTCTGACCTTAAATTTCTTGTGGTTTTATGATGTATGCTGCTTTTATACTATACAAGTATTTTAAAGGTGTTTTAATAGTTTATTGCACTTTCCTTGCACAATTTACAAAGAGCTTGTGTTGCATGACGTATTTTTTTTATATCACCTTAAGTTTACTAAGAGACTAAGGAAGAACACAGGCTTAGTGACAAGTGCATGAGAGAGCCAGACTCAAGAATGCTTAGTTCTGTTTAAGATTCTATGGTCTTGGATATAACCATAGGGAACAAACTGCCTTAAATAGAGTTAATAGGCTACTTACTACTTACTACTGCATCTATATGATGGGTATTATTTTAGTGTTAAGGTTTTAAATTGTTGATGGCAAGGTTGCAGTAGGTATGGAAATTGATTAAATGGTCATGATAAAAAAAATCTAACAAGCCGGGACTGGTTTGGCTCAGTGGATAGAGTGTCGGCCTGCGGACTGAAAGGTCCCAGGTTCGATTCCAGTCAGGGGCATGTACCTTGGTTGCGGGCACATCCCCAGTTGGGGGTGTGCAAGAGGCAGCTGGTCGATGTTTCTCTCTCATCGATGTTTCTAGCTCTCTGTCCCTCTCAATTCCTCTCTGTGTAAAATCAATAAAATATATTTTTTTAAAAATCTAACAGGATAATATGCAAATTAGTCAGTCTGCCATCACACAAATTTTTTTAATGAAATAATAGAAAATATCAGAGTGCATTACATGTAGTAAGGTTAAGTATTCATGAAATTTGTTTCACCACTGTATAAGCATATATATGTATGTGAAGTCATGTATAAACTATGTATGATTATATATGTGTCTATATTATATACTAGGGGCCTGGTGCACAAAATTCGTGCACTTGCAGGAGGTCCCCTCAGCCTGGCCTGTGCCCTCTTGCAGTTCAGGAACCCTTGGGGGATGTCTCCCACAGGGAGCAGATCTAAGCCATAAGTTGGTCATCGTTAGCACTTCTGCAAAGGCCGGGTAGGCTCCTGCACTGCTGCTGCACTCACTAGCTGTGGACCCAGCTTCTGGCTGAGTGGTGCACCTCCTGTGGGAGCACACTGACCACCAGGGGGCAGTTCCTGCATTTAGCATCTTTTCCCTGGTGGTCAGTACACATCATAGTGACTGGTCATTCCACTGTTGGATCAATTTGCATATTAGCCTTTTATTATATAGAATATGTTTATATTTATGTATACACTAGAGGTCCGATGCACAAAATTCATGCCACGATAGGCCTTCCTTCCCCTGGCTGCTGGCACCAGCTTCCCTCTAGCACCCAGGACCTAGGCTTCCCTCTGGCCGCCAGCATGCACCCAGGACTTGGATTTTCCTTGCAGCCCTGGCTTAGTCTGGAAGGTCTTCCAGAAGGATGTCTAGTCTATTAGCATATTATACTTTTATTATTATAGATATATCCTCAGAGACACCCAAATAAATACATATATATTTACTGAGCTAGAATGTAAAATATATTTCTTTCTATGGATTAAAGTTTAAAAAAAATTATAAGCCACTGTTCTTTAGCACTAGCAACATACAAGGCACATATATGCTGTGTGTTACAAATGTGTAGTATAAAAATTGGTAAATATATATATGCTTCCTGATGCCCACTGTTTAAATTTATATGCGCAATACTAGTGTTCATTAAGTGAACATATATTAAGCACTTACAGTGTGCATCATTGGAGGTACAAAGTTGATACCAAAAGCTGTGGTCTCAAAACAACAACAACAAAAAGTGTGGTCTCTATCCTCAAAGAGCTAAAGGTCTTAAACTTTTAAAAGATGGGTGAATTATTGGAATAGGAACAGGAAAAATCTGCTATAGTAGTAGGAAATGCAGTGTGCTAGGAACTTTTACACACATTTTTACACGTTATTTACGTAGTCCTTTACATTTCACAGAGTTCTTTGCTTCATATAAACAAGGATTATTATTCCCTTCTGGATTAAGGAACAGACTTGGAGAGGTTACTCTGACTAAGATCGCCTAACTGGAAATTGACAGAGCTGGATTTACATCTGTCTACCAATCCAAAATCATCTTTCGCAGGGTTATGATCCCCAAAGATCTATGGTAAATTACAGATTTCAAATTGAGCAACTTAAAAACCTTATGGGGAAAAGAAGGCTACATGAACAGAGCCTGGATTTATGAAATGTCAGTGGGTCATTTTTATATTTGCTAAAAGCAAAAAGCAAAAAGTATAAATACAGGGTAATTTAATGTCATTTAAAATAAATATACTTTATGAAAAATTAGAATATTCCTTTTCACTCAGAAACATTTTTTTATTCTGCCTTCTCAACCGGGCCTCTAGTATATAATATAGACACATATATAATCATATATAGTTTATACATGACTTCACATATACATATATGCTTATATAGTGGTGAAACAAATTTCATGAATACTTATCCTTACTAATGTAATGCACTCTGATGTTTTCTATTCTTTCATTAAAAATATTTTTATATTTGCTAAAAGCAAAAAGCATAAATAAAGGGAATTTTAATGTCATTTGAAATAATTATACTTTATGAAAAATTAGAATATTCCTTTTCACTCAGAAACATTTTTTTATTCTGCCTTTAAGATATTTGTAAATTCTTGCCGAAACCGGTTTGACTCAGTGGTAGAGCGTCGGTCTGCGGACTGAAAGGTCCCAGGTTCGATTCCGGTCAAGGGCATGTACATTGGTTGCGGGCACATCCCCGGTAGGGGGTGTGCAAGAGGCAGCTGCTCAATGTTTCTCTCTATTTCTCTCCCTTCCCCCTCTCTGTAAAATATCAATAAATATATATATATATTTTTTAAAAGATATTTGTAAATTCTTTAAAGATGTTACCCTGTTTCCCCGAAAATAAGACTGTCTTATATTAATTTTTCTCCCAAAGTTGCGCTAGGTCTTATTTTCAAGGGATGTCTTATCTTTCCATGTGCTAGGTCTTATTTTCAGAGGATGTCTTATTTTCGGGAAACATGATAGTATAAATAAGCATTTTTTCTTGCCAGTAGCCCCAACATTTGTGTGTGTGTGTATTAAAATTTATTGTGTCCCACTTTGTCCCAAGAATATAAAGTCACTTGGATGTTGGGATAAAAAAAACTTCGAGTGCCTTTTTATTTTTTATTTTTTTTTTTTTATTGATTTTGTACAGAGAGGAAGGGAGAGAGATAGAGAGTTAGAAACATCGATGAGAGAGAGTCATCGATCAGCTGCCTCTTGCACACCCCCCACTGGGGATATACTCACAACCAAGGTACATGCCCCTGACCGGAATCGAACCCAGGACCTTTCAGTCCCCAAGCCGACGCTCTATCCATTGAGCCAAACCGGTTTCGGCTCGAGTGCCTTTTATTTAGCATATTTACCTAGCTTAGATTTGCAGGGTTTGGGAACACCCTACCTGAGTGTCATAAAAGGCCCATGAAATCATTTGGTCTGCCCCTGCCAAGGCATGAGGAGTGAGTTAATTAAAATTTTTACCAAATATAATAGGGTAATTTTTAAGATAATCATTTTGTATGGCCTACGAATGATGATAAATATTGAAATGGCCTTTGGCAGAAAAACTGTGCCCCACCTCTGATTTAGAGACTACTTCCTGGAGCTCTAGCCCATTAATAAGAAATTCCAAAGCTCATACTACCTTTGTCTACACTCCTCTCCTTCCCAACATGAGTATGGATGGGTCCAAAACCTCATGTACTCATGTACTCATGTCCAAAACCTCATGTTCCTCAACTTTCTTTATCTCTTCTAATGCTTCACTACAAAATGTTCTCTAGCTCTGTCACTTTGCGCTCTTTTTCCCATTACCCTGACCCTTCTTCTAATTATAGCCTAGGTCTGCCAGTATGCAAATATTTGAGTTAAAATTCTTAGAGCTTTCAAAATCCATATGTTTTGGAATTTCAAGAAGTGAATTACATCATGCATCATTCCCAGCCTATTCTCCTTATAGAAGCAAATGTGTCTTTGACCAAGTCTAGGTGTATAGCCATATTTACATTGCATGTCCTTCTGGTAACAAATTCTGTTTGTCCTTCTATTTTGTGTTGACAGATACAAATGAAATTGATGGAAATGAAAGAGCTGGAAAACCATAATAACCAATTAAATTGGTGCAGCAGCCCACACGGCATTCTTGTAAATGGCACCACGGATTATTGCAGCCTCAGTACCAGTAGCAGTGAAACAGCCAACCTGAATGAACACGCTGAAGGCCCGAGCAACATAGAGTCTGAGCCCATACACCAGGAGTCTCCGGTGAGCCTGATAGTTCCCTAACCCTCAAAATCAACTTAAGGAAAAAGAAATTGATTCAGAGCAAAGTTTTGTTGATATCAGACCTGATACAACTATGTGGCCTGGCCTTATCTGAGGACAATTTGAGATTTTCTTTTTTTGAGAGGCAGAGTGGGAACTAATCCAACAGTTCTAAGAGTTTTAATAATTTTAAAACATAATTTAACTTGTCTATTTGTATATATGTTTTCAAAACAGTAGCTCTGTAGGTAATAACTTTTAGAAATCGTTTTTAAATATTCTCACCCAGAGCTGAAAGTAATGCTTCATTTCCTAATGTTGAGGACAGTTGTTTACCAGTTATTTAGAGAGCACTGAGTGTGTGCAGGAGTACTGCTGTGTGCCCTAGCCAGTTTGGCTAAGTAGATAGAACGTCAGCCTGCAGACCGAAGGGTCCCAGGTTCAATTCTGGTCAAGAACACATGCCTGGATTGCGGGCTCGGTCCAACGTGCAGGAGGCAGCCAATCAATGATTCTCTCGTCTCATTGGTGTTTCTATCTCTTCCTTTCTCTTCCTCTCTGAAATCAATTAAAAAAAAAAAATAGGGTACTGCTGTGTTATGTGTGAGAGCTACAGAGAAAAAAGGCAAAGGAACTCTGCCTTCAAGCAGCACAGTCTAGTAATGTAACACTGTGTGAAAGGGCTGTGACAAAGGAGGCATGGGATGTTCAGCATGGAGGGGGCTCAGAGAAGATGTTGTAGGAAAACTTCACAAGTGGCCTTCAAAGTGAGAAAGGGGTTCGTAAGCAAAAGAGGTGGTACATTCCTGGTAGAGAGAGCAGCATTAGCATCAGGTCAGTGGTTAGAGTGTCTTCCCACTCACCCAAGGCTGAGGGTTCCATTCCCAGTCAAGAGCACATACCTGGGTTGCAGTTCAATCCCTGGCCCTGGTTTGGGGCACACGTGGGAGGCATCCAATCAATGTGTCTCTTTCACATCAATGTTTCTCTCCTACCCTTCCTCACTCTAAAAATCAATGGAAAAATGTCCTTGAATGAGGATTTTTAAAAAGAAGAAATTTGAATTTATTTTGAAGCATTGGAGAATTTATCATACAAAAGTAGGTAGACATTTAAGAATTTTAAGCAAGAAGTAACAGGGTTAAACTTAGCTTTTAGGAAATGTGAAAAGTGGTTTGGAGAGTGGGATTGGACACATATTATTCTCTCTCATCGACGTTTCTAGCTCTCTATCTCTCTCCCTTCCTCTCTGTAAAATATCAATAAAATATATTTAAAAAAAAAAAAAAAAAGACTGTTGGGAAATGATCTATGTTAGAGTTGCTTTAGTCTAAATTAAGCAGTAAGAGATATAAAATTAACACTTGATTTTGTTTAGACAGTACAATGTTAGACATATTATAGAATTTTCTTTTAAGCACAAAAGGTAAAATTACTAGGTTATTCTTCAAAGATATAAAGTGGTGTTAAATGGAGATTGCCCTTGCCACTTTTTTTTTTTAATCTCACCCAAGGAGTGAAGACATTTTTCCATTGATTTTTAGAGAGAGTGGAAGGGACGAGAGAGAGAGAGAGAGAGAGAGAGAAAGAGAGAGAGAGAGAGAATATGAATGAGAGGAAAGAGATCAGAGACCCATCAATTGGTTGCCTCCCACCTGACTAGGGACGTGGATTAAACCTGCAACTGAGGTATGTGCCCTTGACTGAGAATTGAACCCGAGACCCTTCAGTCCGTGTGCTGACACACTAACCACTGAGCTACTGGCCAGGGCATTAAGCTTTATTATCTACTATTATAAATCCAGAAAGCAATGGGAAACCATTGGAGAGTTAAGATCAGATATGTGTTTTAAATCTATTAATTTGATTATTATAAGGAAAGATAAATTGGAAAGTTACTATAATAATTGGATAAGAAATTATATAAATGATTGATAGTGATAGTGAGGATGAAAAAGAAGGGAAGAATCTGAGAAAAACGTAGGTGGTAGATACTGTAAAAGATAGAATCTAACTGAGGGATGACCAAAGGGATATGGTTAAAGAAGACCTCAGTGTCATATCTGCTTGGTGATACCATTTTCCCAAGAAAGATTATGGAGAATAATCTTTCAGTGAATATTTCAGTGATTCAGTGAATCACTGAATATTTCAGTGAATCACTGAATATTTCAGTCATTCAGTGAATATTATCTGCTTGTCTTTTTATTTTCTAGTAATTTTGGGGTTTTCTTTGTCATTTTCTCTGCCAAATAGAAAATACATTGTTAGTTCATGTGGCATTAATATTTTGTAGGTAAGAAGTAGTCCTGAAACACTGCCTTGTGGTGTGACTGATGAAATCGAAGTGGTGACTGCAACTGTTAATGAAAACGTTTGTCCTGAATTTAACAGTGACAGCCATTCAAAAGAGGTAAAAAATAATTGTATAAGTAAATGCTCCTTATTGGTGGTTTCCTGTATATTAAGGAAAGAGAAAAATGTGTTAAATGAACTTTATGCTACAGAAATATTTGTTATATTACCATCAGTAGATTTTTCAAAGCATGTTATTTTAAAATGTTACCTTTTAAAACTTTGATTCCTAAAAATGTTTTTCTTATTTAAAATTATTTTTAGGAAGACCCATTTACTGTAGAATCGGGTTCCCTGACAGATCCAGTTGCAGATACAAACTTGGATTTTTTCCAGTCTGATCCTTTTGTTGGCAGTAAGTACTCTAATATTTATATTATAGACTTATATTTAAAAAAAAAGGCTTTTAAATATATAAACTGTATAAGAATTAGGGCTTCAATTTTGAGAGCCTATTTGTTATAACAAAGGTAGAGTGGAGAGTAAGGTTTTATATGCTCAGATTTTAGTATTTGTCATCTTTTCGCAACATCTTTAAATTCTGGGGCTAAGCCTTTGATTATGTTTTAGAAACTTCTGAATAAGAGTCTATTTCTTCTTCAGAATAGGGATCAGAAGGAAAGATAATGAGCACTCTTAAGTCAATAAGCAATTATTTACTAAAAGTGCCAATATCATTCTTTTAAAGTAATGGAAGCTATAGTAGTATACCGATCCCTGCCCTTAAAGTTCCTACAGTCTTATAGAAGAAACATAAGTTTAATAAATTAAACTATTTTAAATACTACTTATCTTAAAGCTCTTTCTGCATTTTATTTCTAAAATCACCTTGTGAAACTGATAGGTCAATTTATATCGGTTTTACAGATGGCAGACTGATCTCATACCGCCGTGACTCAAAGCGTGACTGGTTTAGAGTCATGGCGTAATCTGTCTAGTGGTGATGGTAACACTCATTCCCTACTGTTGTGAAGAGGAGAGATTTTGTTAGTAAAATTCTTGCTGTCATGCCTGTCTTTTCTCATCCTTCTATAACTTGTGATCAAGAGATAAGTATAGTTGTCTATGATTCAAATTTGCCTCTCTTATGAGGTGTGTTGGTATTCTACCTTTACTCTTTATTATTTTACATGTTTCCTAAAGGTGGATGCCATTCACTGTTTTGTTTACTTTGAGGTGGAATTAATAAAACAAATATTGCTTTGTGCTTTTGTTTTAAAGTTTTAAAGTACTTCCGGCACTGATCCTTTAAGTAATGGTGCCACATAGTGAATATCATTTTGATTTCTGCTTATTTATTTTATCACAGGTGATCCTTTCAAGGATGATCCTTTTGGGAAAATTGGTCAGTATATTATAAATTTATGTTGTATTTAGGAATGAGGGATCCTAATGGGTAGTTATAGGAAATGGACTTCCTTTTTTATTTAGTTTTGAAATTTATCTAAGGTCTCACTAAGATGTGTGTGCCTGGTATTTTTAGAGAGAAAGAGGTAGATTCTTGTGAATTTACTTAACTGTTAGCTACCGTATACTTTTAAAAAAATGACATTAGTGTTTATACTTTGATGCTTTTAGTAATATTTAACTGATTTCTCCTTATTAGTCAAGGATTAGGGAAGTATAATGAGTTACACTACAGGGCTTAGAACTTTCGTTTTACACTACTCCAGTGAATGGAGGAAAAGGAAATATCTTTGGTTTGGTTTTATTTTGTTTTGTTAATCCTCACCGGAGGTTATTTTTCTTTTGATTTTTAGAAAGAATGGAAGGGAGGGAGAGAGACCGAGAGAGAGAAAATTGATGAGAGAGAGAGAGAGAGAGAGAGAGAGAGAGAGAGAGAGAGATTGATTGGTTGCCTCTCGAGATTGATTGGTTGCCTCTCGCACAGTCCCTAACTGGGACCTGGGATAGAGACTGCAACCAAGATATGTGCCCTTGACCAGAATTGAACCCAGGACCCTTTGGCCCAAGAGCTGACGCTCCAACCACTGAGCAAAACCAGCTAGGGCAAAAAGAAACATCTTAAAGATTTACTAAATGTCAGGTTTTTTAAGATATTCTTTTTTTAAGAAAATATATATTTTTATTGACTTCAGAGAGGAAGAGAGAGTATAGAAACAGCCATGATGAAAGAGAATCATCGGTTGGCTGTCTCCATGTCTCCTATTGGGGATCCAGTCTACAGGCCAATGCTCTAACCACTGAGCAAAACCAATTAGGGCAAGATATTATTTTTTTTAAGTATGTTTTTATTGATTTGAGGGAGAGAGAAACATCAAGGAGAGAGAAATATTGATCTGCTGCCTTCTGCATGCCCCCTGCTGGAGATTGAGCCCACAACCTGGGCATGTGCCATGGCCAGAATCAAACCAGTAACCTCTTGGTTCATGGGATGACACTCAACCAACTTAGCCACACTAGCCATGCTTTAACATACTCTTTTTCTGGGATTTTGCATTAGAATTAAGCCAATCATTTGTACCATTTAGTTTTGCTTTGCGAACCTGTTCCAAATATTGGCTGTTACCCTTGAGCTAGAGAAAGACATTGAAAAGTTTTTGTTGTTTTAGTTAATGATAGCATAAGTTAAGGGTCTTAAAATGGGATCCCTTGAAATTATATGCTAGTTCTAAAAAATAAGTTTATTGCCGAAACCGGTTTGGCTCAATGGATAGAGCGTCGGCTTGAGGACTGAAAGGTCCCGGGTTCAATTCCGGTCAGGGGCATGTACCTTGGTTGCGGGCACATTCCCAGTAGGGGGTGTGCAAGAGGCAGCTGATTGATGACTCTCTCTCATCGATGTTTCTAACTCTCTGTCTCTCTCCCTCCCTCTCTGTACAAAATCAATAAAATATATTTTTAAAAAATAAATAAATAACTTTATTATGTAAAAGTCTCTTACCTTTTGCTGTGGTTGGGTGGCTCAATTGGGTTCAAGAGTTGTCTTATACACCAAAATGTTGCTGGTTTGATTCCCAGTCAGGGCACATATCAAAGTTCTGTATTCAGTCCCTGGTTGGGGTATATACAGGAGGCAACTGATCGATGTTGCTCTCTCATATCAATGTTTCCTCCTCTCTTCCTCTCTCTCTCAAATCAATAAACATACCCTCTGGTGAGGATTTTTTTTTTAAGGACACTTACCTTTTATCAAAATCATTATGGAATTTCTAGTCCCCCCTCCTTCAATTAGAAGCACCCCCAATTAGAACCAACTTAGAGGAATTAGTAGAACCTAGCATACAGGAAACATTTGTATGTCAAGTGTTGGAATTATTGGTGTGCTTTGGGTGAATGGTGAACAAGTAGGAAAGAATATTAATTAAAGCTGTTTAACTAGATGGGACTGTCTATACCTTTTTTTAAAGATCAATAGTTATAATAGAAAGTACCTAACTTAGATTCTGTAGGAGTTCAAAATGGGGATGGGAAGGAGGGGACATCTGTTAATACTTTCAACAATAAAGATAAATTTTAAAAAAATAAAGCATTTTGACTGATAGAAAAAATAACAGAATATCTTCTTATTACTGCAGTTGTCATGCCTTCACTTGACAGGAAATTCAGTGAAATAGTTTTTTAGTCTCATAATAATGCTGTATTTTCTTAGATCCATTTGGAGGTGATCCTTTCAAAGGTTCAGATCCATTTGCATCTGACAGTTTCTTCAAACAATCTTCTACCGACCCCTTTGTCACTTCCGGTACTGACCCTTTCAGTGCAGCCAGCAATAGCAGTATTACATCGGTAAGTGGGAGGATTAAAAACTATTAAATGGGTAACAAGTGTTGTGAGTTTCTTGCAATATACAGGGGAAAGAATCCTGTTTTAGGTTATTTCTGATGGGCCATGTAGGATTTTTAGTTTCATTCAGTCCATCTAGTTTTTGGTTCAGAGCTTGATCACCCACTGAAATTAACTGGGATAAACTTATATCATCCAAAAATCAAGTCTGCTCTTCAAAGGACCAAATATCCCATTGGGGATCAATATATGTAAAAGCCTAAGCAACTGTTATGACAGGATGACTGGAATGAACAGAATTACCGGTCACTATGACGCCCACTGACCACCAGGCTGCAGATGCTCAATGCAGGAACTGCCCCTAGCCCACAGGCCTCGATCACAGATGGGGCCTGCTGGGCGACTTCCCAGTTCCTCCCCCTGGCCAGCAGGTCCCGGTCACCCAGTTGGGGCTGGGTCCCTGGGCTGGGACGGGAATCTAAGGTTGGGTAGTGGCAGACACAGTACCTTTCCCAGGCTGAGGGTTGAGGGTTGGCTCCCTCCTCGGGGCCAGTGGCCATCCTCCTGGTCCCTACCCCTGGGTGGCAGGCCCCGATCACCCGATCAGGACTGGGCTCAGGCTTATATGGAGAACCGGGGTTGGGTGGTGGCAGATTCGGGCAGCAAGGGAAGGAGGAGGCGGGAAACCTGATTGGCCCTGATCACCAGCCAGGCCCAGGGACCCAATCCATACACAAATTTTGTGAATTGGGCCTCTAATATTACAAAAAATTATTAGAAATCCATATACCAATCTTAAAACACATTGTGGATGGATCATAAGAATTCTCGTGTTTTCATGATACACAGTGTTTTACAAAGTATCATACTTGAAAAAGATGTTAGCTTGTAAGAACATGTAATAAATAACTTCAAAATGCAATGGGTATTTAATTTTAAAGTGTGACTGTAACATTTATATAAAACATTTTTTGTACTCATTCAATAGAAACTTATCTTGCCACTGGGTAAAACTAGCAATAAAACTACTGGTCTGCAATGTGTTAAGTAAAGGTTTTTAGAAATGTTTGATATGCATTATTGAAATAAAGAAAATCAATTTAAAGAACAACATTAATGTTTTAGAAAAATAAAATAATTGTTATTTTATAGACACAGCTGGAATGTTAGTCTGACAAAGAAGTACAAATTCAGTAAATGATAGTTTTGAGAACATATATAGTACAACAATCACTATTTAATAACCACGTACTATGATCAGATATTTCTGTGTGCTTTACATTCCTAATCTTCACATCAACCTTGCAAAGTAGTTGTTGATGTGTCTACTTTAAGAACAAGAACACTGGGATTCAGAAAAATTAACTTAGCACAGCCATGGTTATACAACTAAGTGGTTTATCTTCTGGAGGCTTTGAAAACAAAATCTTTATATCATAGGTAATTAAACATATTTAAAAAAGAATAATGCAATTAAATATTCTAACAAACTTTTATGTAGCTATTGTTTAGTTTCAATAATTATGAGTAATTTTGGAGTTGTAAAACAATTATTTGGAGACTTGTTTTTTTTGAGGCAGGTTTTTCATGTTTATGAGTAAACCAGACCCAGAAAGGATGAGTTGAGTGACAGGCATTTGAAGCAACAATTTTGTCTTTCAGTACTCTTAGATTAAGAATACTTCTTGAAGCCCTAGCCAGGTTGGCTCAGTGGATAGAGCATTGGCCTGTGGACCGAGAGGATACATGCCTCGATTGCAGACTCCTCTCCAGCCCAGGCTTTGGTCAGGGTTCTTGTAGAAGGCAACCAATCTATGTCTTTCTCTCACATCAGTATTTCTCTCTGCCTTTTCCTTTCTCTCCCACTCCCTCTAAAAAAAATCAATGAAAAAATATCCTCAGGTGAGGACTAAAAAAAGAAAAAGAGATATCCTAAGAAAAACCTCTTAATCACAGTATGGTAACTACCAAAGGAAAGAAGGGGTGGAGAGAGGTAAAAGAGGATAAAAGAGTGGGGAAAGGTAAATGGTGACAGGAGACTTGACTTTGGGTGAGGAGGACAATAATATATACAGATGATATATTATGGAATTATATAATTGAGTCCTATATCATTTTATTAATGTCACCTCAATAAATTCAATAAAAATGTTAAAAAAGGAAAATACTTTCTTACAAGAGTACTTGATTGTTTTAAAGATAATAGACTTTGGTGTTCTTGAATTGCTTCCTTACTGTATTTGGTAAGGAACTACTAGTATTTGGCCAACAACTGGTATTTTCCATTGATGTAAAACTGAGAAAATGCCTCTGTAACTGAATATTTGTGGTTTCCACAGGCTACTGGATACTGTGTTTTTCTGTAACACATAGTTTGCAGTGTGGACCCACTTGCCAGATTCTTCTTAAATTGGCTGTAACCTGAATTCTTTCCCTCTCACCTTATTCTACCCTCTCATTCTTCACTTGTATCATTTAAAGAACAAAAAAACCAAGTCAGCTTTTACCAATTTAAAAATAAACAAATTTCTCCTGTTCCTCTATACTGGGAAAATATTTCTGCCACTTATTCTTACTTTTCCTCTTTTCTCCCCAGATTTCTAAAGAAGCTTGTACTTGCTCTTAATATATCTCCATTAAAAACAAAACAAAACAAAAAACAAATTGATAATAATAGCTGGTTATCTAATCTTTTCTATATGCCAGGCATGGTGCAAAGTTCTTTTCTTGTGTTATCTTATTTAATCTTCACAATTCGAACTTCCGGTCTCCCAGTCAAACTCCTGAGGATACACTTTGTATATTAGCCATATATATATACACACACACACACACACACATACATATATGTATACACACACATATATATGTATACACACACACACACACACACACACACACACACACACACATACACTAGAGGCCCAGTGCACAACATTCATGCACTCATGGCGCAGGGGGAGTCGCTCAGCCCAGCCTGCACCTTGTTGTAGTCCGGGAGCCTTTGGGGGGATGTCCAACTGATGGCTTAAGCTGGGAGTCAGACACCTTAGTGCTGTTGCAGCGGCCCGAGAGGCTCCCACCACCGCCGCTGTGCTCACCAGCTGTAGCCTGGCTTTTGGCTGAGCAACGCTCCCCGTGTGGGAGCGCATTGACCACCAGGAGGCAGCTCCTGTGTTGAGCATCTGTGAGCATCTGTTCCCGGTGGTCAGTGTACGTCATAGTGACCAGTCGTTCTGCCATTCAGTCAATTTGCACTTTACCCTTTTATTAGGTAGGATTATTATATAAGATAGATGGGCTGCACATCCATCTTGTTTCCCTTGCTAGCCTGTTGCCCTTTTAGGGTGATTGCACAGTGTTCGGTGAAGGAATAGAAAATTAAACCTGGCATGCATGTAGGCATGCTTTTTCCATTTCTCTCTGTAATAGTATACAAAACTAACAAGCTACTATTAAAAACATGCCTGGTTTTTTCCTCCCTCAAAGTCAAGAGAAGGGCACTAATAGTTGGTGATTTAAGTTATCATGCCAGTGACTGTCTCAAACCAATATTTTATAATTATATTAGGAATCATGGAAATATATTTCCTTTACAGACTAGCTTAATTTTTTTCTTTGATGGCTATTCATTATTTAGCAGATATAATCAACATATAAGCTAATGTGCTAGTTTTATAAATAATGTCATTGGCATCAGTTAAAATAAGTACTGTCATTTTCAATTCCAAACCTGCATTAGTAATAATTATTTCTGCTAGTAGTTTTTTTTTTTAATATATTTTATTGACTTTTTACAGAGAGGAAGGGAGAGTGATAGAGAGCTAGAAACATTGATGAAAGGGAATCATCGATCAGCTGCCTCTTGCACACCCCCTACTGGGGATGTACCCACAACCAAGCTACATACCCTTGACCTGAATTGAACCTGGGACCCTTCAGTCCGCAAGCTGACGCTCTATCCACTGAGCCAAACCGGTTTCGGCTCTGCTAAGTAGTTTTAATGGGTCCTCTTTTATAAACAGAGAATATAAGTCTCAGCATTACTTTTCTCTTTTCAACTATACTTGTTTTACTTGGGAATTTATAAATTGAGCTCTGCATTATCCTTTGACACCCAGTTATAATATCCAATTTCTTGATGATTAGAAATAGATGACATTGATAGCCAGAATCAGAGTAGAAAGTAAATATTGCAAAACTCTTTTCATGCCCCTTTTACTGCTGAGGCTTTTGGATGACCTCTTAAAAAGAGCCTGATGCCAGGAAAAAAAAGTTCAGTTGTCTTCCTAAATACACAATTAGTTTGACTATGATTAAAAATTAAATTAAAGTGTGAAGACAACTGGCTTCTGGTAAAGTCCTCACTCACCCTTGCTACTTGGTACAAAGTTTTACATGGCATATTTAAAAGTGGCAGGATCTTTTTAACAGATACCCCCCTTCTTCTCCTCTCCCCCTCTCCCTTCCCCTTACTCTCTCCTTCTCCCTCTCTCTCTCCCTCCCCTTCTCCCTCCCTCTCCCTCTCCTTCTCCCTTTTCCTCTCCTTTTCCCCCTCCTTTCCTATGCCCAGTACACAAGTCCATATTTTCTTTAAAGGGAAGAATGCTAAACTATTTTTAGATGACAAATAGAAAATGGAAATCTAGGATTTTCTGTTATTAAGTACTAGGATATTTAAGAGAATAGTATATATATCCTAAATGCAGTATGTCATCCTGAAATAAGAAAAGGACATTAATGGAAAAACTGGTAAAATCCAAATAAAAATCTATAGTTTATAGTTTTGTACCAGTATTAATTCTTCAGTTTTAATAGCTATACCATGATTATATGAGATATTACCATTAGAGGAACCTGGGTAAAGGGATTATGGGAGCTTTGTATTATCCTTACAGCTGTTCTAGAAATCTAAAATTACTTCAAAATAGAAAGTTAAAATAGTGTGCATCTATACATGTGTCAAAGTTATGAAGAAAAAAGGAATGAATACTACCAAAGTCAACTTAATAATTACCTCTACAGGTAATTGGCATAGGGATTGGAGAAGAACACATGACTTCTGAGGTGTTGGCAGTTTCTTGGAAGATGATTACATATGTGTTCACTTGATACTTATTTGTTAAACTGTACATATGATTAATACAGTTTTATGAGTAGATATTGTATTTCGCAATAAAAGGATTAGAAAATTATATGTATCATTTTGATTTCATAAGATTGCAGATTAATAAGGGGTATCATTTGTCCCTAATGCCCGTATTCCTTAATGAATTTAGAGTCTGTAAAGAATATTTTCTTCGGTGTGGCAATGAGGTTTCAGCTATGAAGTGTTGCCTCTCTCAGTCGTGTTCTGTGTGATTTGTTTAGGTAGAAACACTGAAACATAACGATCCTTTTGCTCCCGGTGGAACAGTTGTTGTTGCAGCCAGTGATTCAGGTAAGAAAACATCCACCTCTTTGAACAGTAAAAGCATTACCCTTTTTCTTTAAGCTTCTTTTCTTTGGTCTCCAAATGTATTTGTCCTATTTCCTTATGTATGGCTTTAAAATTATTGCATAGTCATATCCAATTGTAATCTTCCAATAATAATAATGATGACAAGTGTTTATTACCAAAGCAGAAGATGGCTTTTGTTGTATGCCTTGAAAGAATGGTCTGGGGTTTTTAATAAGTAGTTATGGAAAGAGACTATGTCAAGCAAAGAGAGTAACACGAACAAGGAATGGAGGTAGGACAGATAGGGCATGTTTAAGGAAAAACAGTCCTTTTGATAAAGCACATTTATAAAGGAACTAGAGGCCTGGTGCATGGATTTGTGCACCAGTGGGGTCCCTCGTTCTGGCCTCTGGCTCTCCAACATCCCCTGAGGGGTCCTGGATTGCGAGAGGGCAGTTCTTGGCACCCCAGAATCGGGCTCCCACCTCTCTGGTTCTGGGTGTGTAACCTGAGAACCGCAGCTGCCAAGTCACCACAGCTCAGTAGCTCCTGCGTTGAGCGTCTGCCCCCTGGTGGTCAGTGCACATAATAACTAGTGGCTGGAGGGCCTGTGGCTTAGGCTTTTATATATACAGATAGTTAAGGCTGAAGGGGTAGATTGCAGTCTTACTGTAGGAGGTTTCTTTTGCCTTTGTTGGTTTTCTCTTTCAATTCAGTTTCAAGCTTATTTCCTGTAAAGTGATAGAATAAATGACTATAATAGTCTGGGAGGGACTAAGATTTATTGTTGTTAATTATAATATGATACCACTTATTGAGCACTTGCATAATTCCAGCATTCTATGTGCTAACCATTTTTCCATAATTGGTCTCATTTAATTCTCACATGTGAAGCCATTTCACAAGGTTCAAGATGGAGTAATAGATGGAAACAGTGGGCCCATCTGATGTCTCTCGTTTTCCCACTGACCTTTTTAATCATTCCTTGTGTCTCCTTTGCTGATTCTTCCTCTTTCCCCCAATTTCTTTATGTTGTGCTGCTCTAGGCCCTAGACCTGGGACATTGTTTCTTCTCCATCTGTACTCCCTTGGGGATTTCACCTGGTTTCATAGATGTACATATTTATATGCTGATTTATATCTCTAGCCACATCTTTTTTCTCAAACTCTAGACTCATACACCCAACTATCTATTGACATCTTCACTTAATTAGCTTCTAGATAAATCTAACATAACATGTCTAATATCTTCAAACACCTAATCTTCCTTCCCAAACCTGCTTCTCTTAAAGCTTTAATTCATGGTAATTTATCTTTAACATTGCTAAGACCTGAAACCTCAGAATCATCCTTGGTTCTTCTTTTTCTTTCTCTCTATCCCTGGTCTTTGAGGAAATATTGTATTACTGGCTCTGTCTTCAAACTATATTCAGGAAAAGACTTACAATGGGTACCTTTCTAACTCTTTCTCATCATTCATTCCCCTTACTCTCTGCTCCAGCCACATAGCCTTTGTGCTATTGCTCTAACAACAGGATGGTGTTCCTTAGGCTCTGCCCTTAATTGTTCCTTATTCATCTGTCCACATGATGATCTCCATTACCTCTAACAAATCTTCGCCAAAATGTCACTCAGTGAGGCATGCTCTGGCCACCCTATTTAACATTTACAGGCACCACCACCCATCCCAGCACTCCAAACTTGCTGTTCTCTACTCTTTTTCTTCCATTATGGCTGATTACTTTCCAGCATACTATATAAGTGACTTTTTTTTCTTTTAAAAAAATATTTTTATTGATTTCAGAGAGGAAGGGAGGGGAGAGGAAGATAAAACATCAGTGATGAGAGAGAAATTATTGATTGGCTGCCCTCCTGCACACCCCACACTGGGGATCAACCCCAGAGCCTTCAGTCCACAGGCCAACGCTTTATCCATTGAGCCAAACCAGCTAGGGCAGATAAATGGCTTTGTTTTCTTATTTGACTTCTCCTTCCATTAAATTTTAAGTTACATAGGAACTTGGAGTTTTGTATTCACTGATGTATTTCAAGAACCTTAAACCATGCCTGGCCACATATTATTCCTGAATGAATGGATGAATCACAGAGTATATGATAGGAGGCCAGTGGATGAAAATCCTGGGGATGGGGCATATTGTTTATTTTGTTCTGATAAGTGTTTTTTGTTTTTTGTTAAATATTATGGTAAAATATACTTAACATAAAATTTACCGTTGTAAACACTTTTAAGTATACAGTTCTGTGGTATTCAGTATATTCACATTGCTATGCAATCATCACATCCATCCATTTTTTTTCATCTTCCAAAACTGTAACTCTATACTTGTTAAACAAAAGTTCCCCATTACCCCCTCCTGCAGGCTCAGGCAACAACCCTTTACTTTCTGCATTTATTAACTTAACTATTCTAGGTACCTCATCATATAAGTGGAATCATGTAATACTTATCTTTTTGTGACTGGCTTGAGCTTGATTATCTTGTGGGTCATAAACGAGTCATCAGGGAAGAAAATATTTCCTCCTCGTTCTCCCAGGATTCTCTGGTAGACAGCTGTTTTATGGGAATTATTTGTGAGTCTTAAAACTGGTTTCACTTACTCCTTGTTGTTCATCTGCTTGTGCTAAGAAATGTTATGATATCTGTTTGGAAGATTCCTAATACGTAGACGGTTTCTGTACTTTTTTCTCCCCCAATATTTTCAACAATATAAGTTATCCCCTATTTGCCAGACCTTGTTCTAGGCCTTGAAGATACAGTGGTGAACAAAACAAACTTCCTGTATTTATAGAGCTTATATGGGAAAGATAGACAATAAACAAATATATAATATGTTAGGTACTTATGAATGCTATAAAATAAATCATAAGGGGATAAAAAGTGACATGCCTAAAATGTAGCTTTATCAATCACACTTCACACAAAAAAAGCATATCAACATAGTCTGATCTCAAATATGTAATGGGAAAAAAAATACCAGGATAAAAAGTGGCAATGGTCTTAATCCAGCATGTAGAAGGGAAGGGTTCAGGAATCTGGAGAAGGTACAGTGTGTAAATTAATCAAGAGTCCAGAGATGAGCCGGGACCGGTTTGGCTCAATGGATAGAGCGTCGGCTTGGGGACTGAAAGGTCCCGGGTTCGATTCTGGTCAAGGGCATGTACCTTGGTTGCGGGCATATCCCCAATAGGGGGTGTGCAAGAGGCAGCTGATCGATGACTCTCTCTCATCGATGTTTCTGACTCTCTGTCTCTCTCCCTTCCTCTCTGTACAAAAATCAATAAAATATATTTTTTTTTTAAAAAAAAAAAAGAGTCCAGAGATGAAACATAATTTTGGAAGGCATTTTGGGGAGCCAGAGAAAACTTAGCTAAAGAAACCTAGTTCTCTGTCTCTCAGGACCCCTTGCTTTTTATTAACACAAATTGTCCTAAAGTAAGGTAGATACACATATCAAAAGCCAGGGTTTAGTATACAGAATCCATTGTCAGATTGGAGGAACTGCCTCTGGCTGCTAGGTATTTGGCGATGAGGAGGAGGCAATAACATGTAGATTGAAATACTCTCAGCTATCTGGCAGCAAACAATTATTTATGCATCCTTTTCAGGTTTGGGGAAATGCCTTTAACCATTTCCAGATGATTCAGCTCTGCTGACATGCTGGAATTAGCTTCCAGTAAAATAAAAAAAAAAAAAAAAAAAAAAAAACTGTTAAAAACGTAAAATATTGTTATGGGTTATTTCTGGAAATGAGATTATAGATGGCATTTTTTATTATGCTTTCATGTATTTTTCCACAGTGTTCATTACCTTTATTCTTGGGGAGAAGAGGATCCCATTTGCATTTAAAGCCTGATTTTGCTGGCTCATAGCTCCTGTGTGCATCAATAGGAAGAAAGCCACCTGCTGAGTTCCTCTCCACGTGTTATTCCTGGGACTCCTCAGCAGGTGTCTCACACATGAGCTCAACAAGTTCACACTCAGCGGCTCCTTCCATTTCTGGGTGGGCCTCTGCTCCCTATCAATCATGATCAATAGCTGAGAAAGTTCTAGCCAAACTCGTATTAATTCCCTAGTTTGAGCAAAAATGCTTTGTCGTTCATCCAGGATAAATTTCCCAGTGTTTGGACCAATGCTGAATAGATCACTTATTCTGATGAAGAAGGTGTAGAAAAACTCTAGTAGGCTACAGTAGCATATACTTCATACATAAATGTTATGTTTTTTTAATTTATTTATTTCCCAAAGTATACTCCACAAAATTTCAGTCGCTTCACAAAGTTTGTCGTATTTGACCTAACTCAGCACTATTGCCAAATGTTATGACTTCTTGTAAAAGCTGTGGGACAGTGGCAGAGAACAAGCATGAAGCTGATTTCTCAGTCTCTCCAGTGAAAAGAGCTCAGCTCCTTTTCCCTCATTACCTGTCTACCAATCAGGAGAGCGTCTGCGCCCTGATTGTACCTCAGCTGCTGTGGAATCAGGAATAACAGGAAGAGGAGGAAAAGGAAGGGAAAGCCTGAAACACCAGCCGTGGCTAGGCTGGGCCCCAGCTGTGGACTCAACAGATATGTAGTAATAATAAAGCATGTTTCATAGCTAGAGCTCCAGGATTTCCTGTAACTCTGAATTTCAACATCCTCTTCAGGCTCAGAGTTGTTGGTGTATCCCTAAAGGACTGGTTTTGTCTATGATTCTCACTACTCCTCTATACTTCCTCCACCCCATGAGTATCTTGGGGACAAATCAAACAAAAATAATATACAGAGCTGGACAAAAGTAGGTTTACAGTTGTAATACAAATAAATAATATAATAATTAATACATAATAATACAAGAATAAACTCCATATTTTGTGTACTCACAACTATAAACTTACTTTTTCCCACCCCTGTATATGTTCCTTGCCATCTTGTTTATGCCCATGGTATGCTCATTTTTAGAGTAAAGGCACATTTACACATTTCAGTGAGTGGTTGGGCACAGTGTTCTGAAACTGATTTGATATAAAGATGGAGAGGTGAGGAAGGATAGGAGATTTTTCTGCACCTTTTTGCTTTCTCTGTCTTACACTCTCTTTTGCAGATTTCTTTCCTTCCTTTGCTTCTTTTCTGCTTTCTGATATCAAGCAGAAATTCCTATAAACATTCTTTGACTTTATTGGTGGCCCTATGCCTGAACAGGTGAAGCCTATCTCAAAGTCGATCAGTTCATTCTGGCCAAAAATGTTAGTCCATGTGGGAAATGTACCTGATGGAACAGATAATGTGTCATGCCTATGGAGCAGTGGTTACATAACTGCTTTTGCAATTACTGTGCCTTCTGCCTGGAATAGCTTGCTCTCTCCTACCTTCATCCATTTGGCAGATTCCATCCCTTATTTAAAAGACTAGCTCAAATGTTAGTCTTTTTTTATACTTTTCCTAATTCTCCCAGACAGTGGCTCCTCTGACATGTTTTTCATATCTCAAATAGCTCATGTAAGATGGTTTTATTATAGTTTGTTTACCTCACTAGACTGTGAGCTTTCCAGGGGTGGGAACTCTATTTTCTTATTTTCCTAGATGTGCTAGTCAACATGTTTTTTGACCATTCATTTTTCATTGGCTAAGCCTTATTTCCTATTTTTAAGGATCTTAAAATCTAGTAGAGGGTGATATACCAATCATAGATCATTACAGTGCAAACTAGAATGCAGTCAGTGCCACAAAAAGGAAGAAATCACTTCTTGTTCTTGGAATTAGAGATGCCTCGGTTATTTCAAGCCTTGTGGATGAGGTAGCATTCAAATGGGCCTTGGAGAATAGGTGTGAAATGTGGAATTAATGTAGTCTAGCTTCCTTTACTTCTTGATATTGTTATTATGAATATATTAAGTTCATGGGAGTTATATTATGTGACATGTATTCTAGAATCCTAAATGCTTTACCTAGAGTTAGTTTACCTGTTTTTTATCTTAAATTATTTATCAGTTGATTTATATAAAGGAATGCATTTATCATGTACGAATATCAATGTGCTCACTGTCTTCTTGGACTTAAGTCAGAAATGTAGGAACTAATATTTGGGGTTAGATATTTTTCACCTATCTGAAATGTTACCAACCAAAAGAGGACATGGAATTTGATGTCTTTCTGTCCTGTTGCATTGATGTTCTTTATTCTTTTCAGCCACAGACCCTTTTGCTTCTGTTTTTGGAAATGAATCATTTGAAGATGGATTTGCTGACTTCAGCACATTGTCAAAGGTATCTGAAATGGTTAGTGGGAAGGTATAAAATACATTGTTTCTACCAAAAGAGCAATCCTTCCTTTCAATTATATAACCCCCTCAACAGTCTTTGCAATTTGATTTCAATAATTCACAGCAAATGTTGGTTTCAAATAGAAATAGAAGATAAGATATAATTAAAGTAGATGTACATATTTTTGTTTATAAAGACAATGGTGATACCATAAGTAATTATAGTTTTCTGTGACAGGTTTGCTCAACACCTTAATTTTTAAGAGTCTTATGTAGTTTTAAACTGCATTTTTCTCGTCTGGGTCAATAGTTGTATAATCTGGGTATTCATTCCATCCTCTGCATTGGTTAGTTGACTTTTTTTTATTCTGAGGCTGCTAGGGTTATGTTAATACACATAGTCCAGCACTTACATGTCTCCTACCTATTTTTCAGGGTGGCTCTAGGACTGATGGGAGCCAAAAGAATAAAATTAGAATATATGTCAAATTGTCTGTGCCATTGGTTTTCAACTGGGTATAATTTCCCCTCTGCCTATCCCAGGAAACATTTGTCAATGTCTAGAGATACTTTCTAGTTGTCACAGTTGGGTAGGGGGACTATTTATATTTAGTGGATAGAGAGAAAGGATGCTGTTAAAATATCCTACCAAGTTCTGCCCAACACCCCGACACCATAGAATTATGACCAGCCCAAAATGTCAGTAGTGCTACTGTAGAGAAACACTGGCCTAACTAGAGCTAAAATCTTAACATTTGATTCATTATAGAAAACAGAATCTTTCATTACTCCATGGACAGGGTCTTCAGACTCACATTAAGACTAAAATTATGATTCCATGAGATCAGTTTGCTTTAAAAAAAAACAAACTGACTTTCAAGTTGTCTTTAATGTTCAAGATGTCACTTTAAAATGGCCTCTGGTAGTTTTGTATTGCCTGAAGCTTGACAAACCTTTGATCCCCAGATGGCTTGTTTGATATGATCTTTTGCTCTTAATAAATATCGATATTATAATCACTACTCATATAGAGCAATTAAAAAATATTCCCCCTTTGACTCTGAATGCAAAGGTTAAAATGTCAGCGCTCAGAATTAAAATAAATAAAACTGCATAATACTGAAGACTATTCTTCCAAATGCTATGTGTATAGCTTAATTGGTATCCTACCTAATAAAAGAGTAATATGCAAATTAACCACCACTTTGCTACACCTACTAGCCAATCAGAGCGAGTATGCAAATAAACTCAACCAAGATGGCTACAGCCACAGAGAGCAGGAGGGAGGCTTGGGTTTCCCAGGCAGCAGAGGAAACCAACCTTTCCACCTGCCCTTGTGGACCTAGGGCTCCACTTCAAGGCTACAAAGTTTCAATTATAGAAGGTAAACAAATCCAAACAGAAATGGTGGCAGCCACAGAGCAAGTAGAAGGCTTGGTTCTGCTCCAGGATACAAAGTTTCAATTGTAGAAGGTAAATTCCAGATATGAGGGTCACCAGGGGGTGTGGCCGGCTTGCATACCACTCCAGGCCCCTCACTCAGGCTGCCCCACACTACAAGAGAACCCCCACCCTGATCCAAGACACTCTTCAGGGCAAACCAGCTGGTCCCCACCCATACACCAGGCCTCTATCCTATCTAATAAAAGAGTAATATGCAGATTGACCATCACTCCAACACACAGTATGGCTGCCCACATGATATGCAGATTGACCATCACTCCAACATACAATATGGCTGCCCACATGTGGTCAAAGATCCTGTCCCCATTTGGACACAAGTTGGCCACCACAAGATGGCCAGAAAGGGAGGGCAGTTGGGGGGAACCAGGCCTGCAAGGGAGGGCAGTTGAGAGGGACCAAGTCTGCAAGGGAGGGCAGTTGGAGGCAATCAGCCCTGCAGGGGAGGGCACTTAGGGGTGACCAGGCCAGCAGACAGGGAAGTTGGGGGCAAACAGGCTGGCAGGCAGAAGCAGTTAGGGGCAATTAGGAAGGCAAGCAGGCAAGCAGTTGGGAGCCAATAGTCCTGGATTGTGAGAGGGATGTCCGACTGCCCATTTAGGCCTGATCCATTGGATCCCATCTCTCAATGAGTCCCAGATTGGAGAGGGTGCAGGCTGGGCTGAGAGACACCCCCCCTTCTGCCTCCATGCACGAATTTCATGCACCGGGCATCTAGTAATATATATAACCGTGCATAAACATTTCTTTTCTAACAAAGGCTAACAATGAAGATCCTTTCAGTTCAGCCCCACTGAACTCTGCCAACAATGTGGTCCTTACAAAAAACGTGCTGGAAGAAGCACCAGTCAAAAGTGAAGATGTACCCCCAGCACTGCCACCGAAGATTGGAACTCCAACAAGACCCTGCCCACCACCACCTGGTATGAGAGTACCTAAATCATCAAGATGCATTTTGTTTTGTTTTTTTTCTTAACGTATTGTGCGAGCCTTATTTATAGACTTACCTAAAGGGCCTTTAACAAAGCAAGTCAAGAAAATATGGCAGAAAACAGAACAAAACAAAAGCATGGCAGGAGCCTGCTGCTATTCTCTGTTCTGACCTCAATGCAGAATTACAGACAAGTGTACATGCTAAGAACCCAGCATGTGTAACTGTCATGAACTACTTTTCTGGCACATGCAAACTTCTTTTAAAATCATTTTAAAGAAGCAGTAAATGGAAAAAGGAAAGTATCGATGAAGTCTCTTGCTTTTCAGAGCCCATTGATTACTACTTGAACAATAGTTTCCTGCACTTTTGTGTTTTAATTAATTTCTATAAGAGAAGATTAGTTTGAAGTCCTGTTCTTTTCTTGCCAAATGTACTTCTTAAATTCTTTAATGTGAGAATATATGGTTTTTGGTACCCAGAATTTAGCAATATAGTGATTTGAAAGAAATTAATTTTTTTTTTCTTCTTGAAGAAAAGTCTTTTACCTCACTTAATGAGAGATGCCTTTGTTTTATAAAAGTGATTTTTTGGGGAATCCGGGAATAAATTTTTTTTTTTTTTTTTTTTAGTCTTTAGTACTATACAAAGAAAAGGAACAAAATAAAACAAAAAAAGGCTAATCCCCTGAGTAGTTGTGCTACTAGGTTGTTATGTGAGAAGACACATCTGGTACATTGCTCTTTTAATCATATATCATTCCTTGGGAAATTTTTAGCACAGGAACTATAGATTAGTATTCTTTGTTGTTGTTAATCCTCACCCGAGAATATTTTTCCATTGATTTTTAGAGAGAGTGGGAGGGAGGGGGAGGACACAGAGAGAGAAACATCGATGTGAGAGAGAGACAGCGTTTAGTTGCCTCCTGCACATGCCCCTGGATCAAGCTTATAACTGAAATACGTGCCCTTGACAGGAATCGAACCCAGGAATCTTCAGTCTGCAGGCTGACACTCTATCCACTGAGTCAAACTGGCAAGGGCTTTTATTTATTTTTTAAATATTTTTATTGATTTCAGGTAGAGGAAGGGATGGAGAGAGAGAGAAACATAAGTGGTGAGAGAGAATCATTGATCATCTGCCTCCTGCATGCCTTCTACTGGGGATGGAGCCTACAACCTGGGCATGTGCCCTGACCAGGAATCAAGCCGTGACCTCCTGGTTCATGGGTCAATGCTCAACCACTAAGCAACACCAGCCAGGCTCAATTACGATTCTTGTCTTTTCACAATAATCTTTCTATGGTACTTCTTGGGATGATTATTTCTTCCTTGATTTAAAGAAATTTCATATTCAATTGTTAATACTCAATTATCTGTTGAAAAGTTAGGTAAACGAATGATTTCTATCTTTTAAGGAAAAGTAGCCTATATCATATATTGTTAGATGGTAAGGTTATCCAATCTATATGTTAAACAAATAAGAGTCAATTTGCTCATTTAATTTTTAGAACTATATAATGCCAATAGTGAAGTTATTTTTTAAGTTCTAAATAAAATAACATATTAGTGCTTTAACTAAATCTTCAGCAGAGTGAGTGCATATCACTATAGAAAGATCAAGGAAAGGATGGTTTGTTGGAGAAAGTATTTCACTGGGAGCTCAAAAGTTTGAGTTCTAATTCTGGATATGTTCTGACGAGCTCAGTGATCTTGAGTGTGTAATTTCTGAGCCCCAGCTGTCTGAGCTGTTAGATGGTGGCAGCAATTCTAATTCGCAGGATTGGTGGAAGGCTCCACCAAGATGTGAAATATGAACATCTTTTGTAAGCTATTAAAGAATTTGTTGATACAATTGTTATTATCAGAGATACATTGATGTGAGTGAGACACAGTGATTAGTGCCTCCTGCACATGCCCGGGATGGAGCTTGTAACTGAAATATGTGCCCTTGCAGGAATCGAACCCAGGAATCTTCAGTCTGCAGGCTGAATATACATTTTAAGAAAATATATATTTGAAGATATTTTAACACTTGTTCTTAATTTTCTTCAATAAGTGTTAAATTTTAAACTTTAAAATTTGAGAACTTGCTTGAAAATGAGGATGCTGTTGTTTGGTCAAAGATTTTAAGCACAAAGACTTAGGCCCTGTGCTTCAAAACATACTCTTTATTCTTCAGTTTGATGTATTGTAGGTGGCAAAGTAAATTTTTAATTTCATGTTCCCAGATGTCATATTTAGATCTAGAGAAAAATCAGAAGAATATCAGCATTTTTCAAAGGTCATTTGCCTTTACTGCCACAAGTGAAGAACTGAATCAAGCTGAGGTGCTAATAGCTGAGGCCGGTGACATTCCTTGTCATTCTCCTGTTATCTTTTCTTCTCTCTTTTCCTGGGAACATGCTATTTTGGGGAAGAAAAGGGTTTACTCCAGGCAGAAATAGGATTCCTGACCCATCCTATTTCCCTTTGCTGTTTTTTAATTTACCTACATGGAGCTGCAATATAGTTGAGAGGTTATGTGTGAAAAATATGAAGATAGATTGTTGGTGTGGCCATTTAAGAGGAAATTGAGAATGTGTTTTGGGCTTTATGCTTCCCGTGTTCATGTTCTTGTGTGTTCGTGTTTGCTGCATTTACTAGTTGAGTTAATTGTAATGATTTTGATCCAGGGAAAAGACCCACCAACAAATTGGATTCTTCCGACCCCTTTAAACTGAATGATCCATTTCAGCCTTTCCCAGGCAATGATAGCCCCAAAGAAAAAGATCCTGATATGTTTTGCGATCCGTTTACTACCACTACCACTACCAATAAAGAGGCTGACCCAGGCAGTTTTGCTAACTTCAGTGCTGTAAGTACTGTGAATGGGCTGTTTGGGGGAGAATCTTTTCATTTATAGTTTGAAGGGTTTTTAAAGATTATTTTGGAATCTTCCAAATTTGTATATTTCCAATTAAATTTACTAATGGACTAAAAGTGATAATTATTCTTCCCCCAACCAAAACCTCTGTTTGCTTCTGTTAGGATGGTTCTAAAATTACTCCATTGCACAAGTGGTTTCAGTAGTCTTAGTTCTTGTGATATATACCAGATGTTGTGAACCCTTCTCTTCGTTTTGGTAAACAGCGTAAATAAAATCCTTACTGTTGTTATTTTGTAAATTGTTATGGATGATGGGCCATTAGACAGATATCTGCTCTCTGCCCACTGGGTAAATAATGCCAATCATGAGCTCAGGTATTTGTAACTATGTGTGTGTGTGTGTATAAAACTTTGTTGATTTCTGGAGACCAGTCAGCAACTATGATATGACAGGATAGGGCCAAGGACTCTCTGAATAGAAAGTAAAACTCTGGTTTTATATAGTTGTGTTTTTTAATGTCAATTTTATGAAATAAATACAATCGTCAAGAGTTAAACAAATATTTAATTATTTGGAAGATTCTAATTCACTAACCTTCCATATTTGCTCTACCTGCTCCCAGAACTGACTGAAATAGGTAGAACAGTAAAAACAAATGGAAGGAAGCGGTGATAACGGCATAGGCAGGGCCTGTAACATCCCAGAACTGAGAAAACCAGCTATGGAGATGTCACTCTGGAGCAACATAAAGCAATGACCTTTTCCACCATTATTTGATAAGAAACAAGGCTTTTAAAAAAATAAAATTCTTAAAGTAGCTAACAAAGTTTCATTTTCCCAGATTCTATAACAAAGGAATTTTCCTCTACTTATCACTTTAAGCCCTTGAGATGATTTTGGAAATAGGAGATTGAGACCCTGGCCGCAGTCTGTATGTCTCCATCAGTGTTGCATTGGGTCACTCACCCAGCAGCCACTTCTAGTTAGAAAGGAGGTAGACAGGAGTCTGCATACAACTAAGTCACATGAATGAAACCGAGCTACCTAGATTTTAAAATCTGTACTCTAAGCACCAGTGGCTTCTTATGAATGTGAAGGAGCAGAATAGGAATCAGTATCTTGATTATTGAAAAATGGAATGTCAGGATTATACTGACCTGACTTTTGTTAGATGAAATTTGAGTTGTTTCAAGCATAGAATCAAGAATTGCTCTTCTTAGGAGATTACAATCCACTTAATATAAAATAATCTTCTGACAGTTTGTGGCATTTAATATATAAATATAATGTCATCAAATCAAAACCTGTTTAGAATGATTCTTGAACAATAGCTGAGGCATTTTGCTTATTTCATCCTCCAAAATCTCAATAGAGCATAATATAAAGCAGCTCATAAGAATTTCTTTTTTCATTATGAAAAATGTATTAAGTATTAAAAAATTTAAAGTCCCTCTAATTCCTAAGGAAAAAAGCTATCATTTCATCTTATTGTGGTATTTAGTCTATTGTGATATTCCTCTCTGTGACAGAACTTGAAAGCAAGGAGATTTTTTTTTTCTGGCAGAGTATTAGCCACTCTCCAGATGCAATCCTGGGAGGTTGCAAGGAGAATTTTTTTACTTAGTATCTGCCAAGATTGCTTTTTTGGGTAGATAAAACTATTTCCCTGGCCTAATTATTGGTGTTAAGGTTTTATTTAGATTCAGTCAAAATGTTCTCAGTGCCTGCCAAAAATGTTTATAATGCATTTGAAAGAAAGATTTGGTCCACATCTTGTTTAGTATTCTTATTTGATGTATAGTTTTCCTGTACCAGAAGGTTAGATTAAGGAAGGGAAGCACCGGTGGAATTAAGTTGAAAATGATTGGTCATGTGAGGATGCCCAATGAAGGTGATGTAGTAGATAAAAAGGCTAATCCTCACCTGTTTTTAAATCTACTTATGTCACCTTAAGCATATACTTTTTAAAATAATTTTAATGTTTGTTCTTAGACTTGCTATCTGTAAACTGCATTACTTTTTAAAAATAAAATCAGAATTAGGAATATCATTTGTAGAAACTATTTTTCCTTCTTTTCTTTTTGTTTTCTCTACTCATTTGTTCATTCATTTATCTTTTACACGGTAGTATCCCTCTGAAGAAGATATGATCGAATGGGCCAAGAGGGAAAGTGAGCGAGAGGAAGAGCAGAGGCTTGCCCGACTGAATCAGCAAGAGCAAGAAGACTTAGAACTGGCCATTGCCCTGAGCAAATCTGAGATTTCGGAAGCATGAGGAATTCTCCTGTCCCTTGTCATCCATAATGTACTCTTCTCCCTAAATACTGAAGATCTTTACAGTATATATCAAAACTACCTATGAGCATAGGTTTGAGATTCCTGTAACTGTGACAAAAGTGTACTTGTTTTTTTTAAAATTCATTTAAGACTTGTCTTCTCCCCAGAAAAGCAGCGACGCAGTCCGACAGCTTCACCCAGGTCCCGCTCTCGTGTGCATTTACTGTGCGCTTTTGCCTGCCTCTGCTGCTCTCACTTGTAAAGCTAGAGCCCCCAAGCCTCTGCCTTCTAGAACGTAGAGAAATAGTGTCACCCCTGTGCTACTCTTGTTTTGAAGTTACTCTGATGATAGCCAGTGGGGTTCTTAACATTTGCAGTATTCTCCTCTGATTTTAATGGGTGAGGGAGGGGAAGGGAAAGAACATCCTGTTTCTTTTATGATAGTGCAGATTGGCTAGTTTAAAGTGCATGTTAGTGTTTCCATAGAACCAGAAGACTGATTAATTTGTTTTCTATAGACAAGGAAAAATATTTTGCATAAATTGACTCCACTATTGAAAAGGGGATGCTTTAGATTGAACCGTTACAGCTTCAGACTCAATTTCTTCCTAAATAAAAACATTAAAGCCTCATGTGAAACATTAACTTTTTTTTCTGAATTTAAAGAATTTTAGATAGAAAGATACCTCTCCATACTTTTAAGTGCTAAACAGTGGAGAAAATTTATCATCTAAAACGTACCCGTCAGTATAAGGCAAGCAAAAATGGTAACATGGCAGTCATTCTGCCGGGCTGTGGCACTGTCCTCTTTAGTTCATGGCAGGTCTATTTTTGTACTTTTGGAGAAGAAACGTTAGCAAGCTAGAACTGGAAGGTACTTTAATTTTTTTGTACATATTTTTTTGTTTCCTTTAACGAAGGCTCAGTTACTTGAAATGTAAAAACTTTCACTGAATACGAATGAAAAAAGTGGCATGTATTAAATCATATTGCTCATCTTTGTGGTTTAAAGCAGTTTGTTCTCTTCATGTTTTTGACCATGAAAATGGTAGGCTAGCAAAGAAAGGAAAAGTCCTGTTATTTTAATTGGGAGAGAAGAGACCTGCCAAATTATAAAGTTCTTCATGTGTGAAAAGCCCGTCTCTGGTGAAACTGACCTAGCATACAAGGTGAATTTGAACTAGACTGTGAAGTGGGCCATACAACTTAATTCTAATTTTTTTCTCAACATCAGTTACTGACTTAGGTAATGTATTGAATACCTATTCACCAAGATAAAGAAAAATGCATCTAAAAATGAATTTAAAGTCTTTCTGGTTACCAAATCCAAGTGATATTGATCTGTGTTAATCAGAGTAACATTGCTTAGCCTATGAATAAATTCTAAAATACCCAATTCATTTCATCTTGAAATGGTGCTTTTTTTCCCCCCTCCACACACAATTGGACTGCTGGAGTTTAAAACAAACTTAAACCACTTTCTTGCACTGCTTTTTTCTACTTTTGTAAATTGAAACAGCATAAAAGACGTACATATGAAGCAAGGGCTGAATCATGATCACCAGGCTTTCGTTTTGATAAACTAATCCAGTGACTGAGGATATATGCGAAAGTTGACTGAGAAGGCAGTAGTGGGAGTTGTGATAGGTTGTAGTTTTGGGTGTTTTTCGTCCCCTTACACTTTAGGAAAAAGGTAAGTTGACTTGAACAACCTTCTTTTTGCACTGGGAAAATGAACAGATGTTTGAAAAATATTTTTCTTAATTAAAAAAAACACTCTGAAAAATATTAACTATCTGTAACTTATAAACACCACCTTTTGATGTAATAAGTGTACCCTAATCTTATGTATGTTTAACTGAATTACATAGATTCTTATCTTTTGTTAAAATATGTATACTTAGTGGACCATTATTATATTAAACTATGTATATATTATATAAATATAAATATATATCTCTATCTTTACACTCACCCTTGTAGGATGAATGTCTTAGGGTCATTTTTGATTCTGTTTTACACTGTTGACTCTGGCTCCACAGCCTGTGCTTCAAAAGGACAGATAAGCATCCTGAGAGCAAGTGGTACCACTTCCAAAGTGTTAACTATCTTTACAGACGTGTTCAGGTTTCTCTCTCAATAGAATTTTCTCTAATGTTTCAAACTTCTAAATTGTAACCTGTAACTATGAGAACAATAAACTTTAAGTAATAATAAAACTACCCATGCATCTTATTTGAAATGGAGCTTGTGGGACTGGAAGTTGCTCTGCGTGAGTCCGTGAGTGAGTGGGGAGTGAATTCTAGGACGTGACTGTCCACTGTAGGTTTTATAAGCACTGCCCCCCAGGCCCTCCCCTTCTCACAGCATCGGAAATGGAACTTCTAAGCCGGCAGTGCTGCTCCCTGATCAGGGAGTGGGCTGGATTGACAGGAAGCATCGGGGAGGAACTGGCTGGGTTAGGCGCAGATCACCATAGTAGTGACTGTCAGGAGGGAGTGAGAGATGGCCTGAGGACCAGAAGGAATAAGAAATCAGGATGGAGAGATAAGATAAAGGAGCACAGGGGACTGTCAAGGCCATGTGGTTTTGGCTAGTACACACTGGAGCAGTTGTAAGATTAAGGGACTTGGTTGTACTGATTTAAAAAATTGTGGTGTGTTGAACTTGAAGAGGTTTTAGAACTGATGACTCAGTATTTTGTCTTTGACATTTGTTTTTGGTTCCATTGACCCCATCTGGCACAAAGCGCCCTCTCTGGCATTAAGTCAGTGGAAAAAAATAAACTTGATCTGTGCTTTACATCATTACAGCCTGACAATATTTGCAAAGTACAGGGACGGGCTGGCTCCACACTGTCAAGTGGCAGCGGCACCTCATACTTGTTGAGGTAGCTCCTGGGGGCCTGTGTCCTGGTATGGGATCATGGGCCCTTCACAAAGCAGGCGCAGCAGTGTCCTCTGCAGACCGTCAGGCTGGACCTGGGAGGGCTATCGCTCCCTCTGAATATGGCGCACGGGGCGTGGGGAAGACGGCTCCTGTGCTGAATAGTCAGTGGAGTGTGATGTGTGCACTCAAAATTGAAATGCTGTGCCGAAATCGGTTTGACTCAATGGATAGGGCGTCGGCCTGTGGACTGAAGGGTCCCAGGTTTGATTCCGTCAAGGGCATGTACCTTGGTTGCGGGCACATCCCCAGTAGGGGATGTGCAAGAGGCAGCTGATCGATGATTCTCTCTCATTGATGTTTCTCTCTATCCCTCTCTTCCTCTCTGTAAAAAAATCAATTATATATATATATATATATATATATATATATATATATATATATATATATATTTTAATTGAAGTGCTGTGCGTGAGAGAGAATTTACTGCCAAGCCCCACAGATAATGCTTCCATCAGAGAAAGAAGTGTTCTTCCTCAAACACACACCCTTCCATTTCTTACAGCTCCATTCTAATCTTAGGAGGCCACTGCCATATGTGCAGTCCAGCATTGACCAAAACATCGTTATGTGGCTCATGACTGTATTTTGTGGAAAGAAAGAGGCAAGGAAAACTAGCTGACACTTCCTGGGAACATCTCTGGGCCTGGCACTAAGGCTTTCAATACATTACCCCTTTTCAGCCTTACAATACTTAACACAGAAAACATGACTTATAAACAGATGGAAGTGACTTGGCCAAGACGCCCCAATCTAGTGGGGACCAAGCCAGGGTCCAGCCCAAGAGCCTTGGCTCCGAGATGTGCTCGTCCACAACACCAGGCTACCACACCTAAGAGGCAAAGCAGCAGCCCTGGCCCTCAGCGAGAACTGATGTTCTCCAGGAAAACCTGCTTCATTGCAGCTTGCTGAGGTGTCCTGCCCTAGCCAGTTTGGATAGAGTGTGGGCCTGCAGATGGAAGGGTCCTGGGTTCGGTTCTTGTCAAGGGCACATAATTTGGTTGCAGGCTTCTGGCCCTGGTCAGGAGCATGCAGGAGGCAACCAATTGATGTGTCTTTCTCACATCTGTGTTTCTCTCCCTCGCCCTTCCACTCTAACCTGGGGGGAAATATCCTCGGATGAGGATTTAAAAAAAAAAAAAGATTCCTGGCCTTATAGAAAGAACCCAGACCTTGGAGTCTGATAAACATGGGTCTAAATTCTGCCTTCCCATCTCCTAGCTACACAACGTTGATTAAATCTCTCAATCCCTCCGGCCCTCGGTGGTGGTAACAGTTGCGTCAGAGGGTTGTGAGGATTAAGGACGACGGATACAAAGTCTTCGTCAGTTGGCAGTTGGCAGACACTCACTAAGAGCTGTCATGTCCATGTTGAAGAAGACAGAAAGCTAACAGTACATTTTAGGAAAATGTCCATGATTAAATGGAATAAACTTCCGTCATCTTGAGAGTGTTCACTGACTATGGATAAAACTGTCACATAAAAGTGCAGATAACACACATGGTGTGTCCAGCACTGGTCTGTATTGTTTGTGTTAACTCATTTGGCCCTCACAATAGTCCTTTCCATAAGCACCTGTTGTTATCCCCATTTTTTTACAAAAGAGAAAACAGAGGTTAAGCAACTTGCCTGAAGTCACACACAACTATCAAGTGGGGAGGCCGGGATTCCAGTCGAGGGAGGGGGGCTGCTGGAGAGTAAAGGCGAGGTTAATCTCGGGGTTGTTAGATTCAAACTAAGATAAGCTTTAGGGAAGTGGTTCGTAAAAGCTGTATGCATTCTAAGTGCGTGTGGCCGGCAGACGGGGGCTAGGTTTAAAACAGAGATTTGAGTCTGGTGCTTGGGTTGAATCCTAGCTCTGCCACCTAATTAGCGGTTGTGATCTTGAGCAAATTACTTAATCTGCCTCACTTCCTCAGCTATCGAAATTGGGGTCGTAAAAGGAGACATTTGACAGGGTTGTTCTAACAATGAAACATGTAAAGGGTTTAGAATAAGGCCTAACATGGCTTTAAATAAATGATGGTGATAATGAAGAGGACAAAGGAGAAAAGAGGCAAGAAGAACAGGAAACTAGCTTTGACGTGTGAGAACCATGGGACCAAATCCCAGCTCCTAATCTGATCTCAGGAACATTTCTAAACTTCTGAGTCCACTGTTCTCAGAACAGAGCGGTCCGGATTAGAAGTAGTGTATGTAGGGCCGTCAGTGTAGTGCCTGCCACTAAGTAGAAACTTTATAAATTTTAGTTCCTTCTTCGTTTACTCAACACCGAGCACCTGCTACCTGCAGCAGTGGTGCTGGGGTCCATGGAAGACACAGATGTGAGACAGAAATCTGGAGAGAGAGACTCACCTGGTCATTGATAACTAGTATACTAGTAAGGATTAAAAAGCGTAATCCTAAATGCTGTGAGAAAGATAAAAATGTAACCTCCAAAGAGAGAGTGACTCCTCCATTGGGGAGATACAGGAGGGCTTCCTGGAGGAAGTGGTGTTGGCTGCGGGCTCAGAGGCTGGATGGGACTTTAATCCCACTGGGATTAGGCTGGGCTCTGGGCCTTTAAGTGACCCAGCTTCGGAGGCCCCGAGGTATTCATTCAGCCTGTGACCTGGCTGCCTGCAGGGCACAATGCTGCCAGGCTGGACACGGCTCTGTGGGCTGAGGGGTTGGGCTCCTGGGCGCACTGTAACTGGACTTTCCAGATCTGGAAACTCTGGGCTTGTGGTCAGATAAGCAGCATTCTTGGGCCCTTGTTGACCCAAGATTTGGTCGTGAGTACTCAGAGAAAGGGGGAAAGGTCATGTTTTCTCTGCTGTTTACCCAGGAAAAGTGAGAGAATGCCCGGACAATCCCTGAGTCTTCTGCCTTCCACTTTGCACAGACCTCCCATGCCATGCTCAGCCCTCCTGCGGGCCACAGGCAGGCGGGGGAGCACCCGATGGAGCAGACAGACCTGGTGTGAGCCCTGGCTGCACAGGGTGGTTTCAGGGAAACCATCCGCTCTGAACCTCAATCTCATCCGCTGTGAAAGGGGGGAGGGTATTTCATTAGATGAAATTCAATAAGGATTTGTGAAAAGCTCCTGGCTTAAGGCTTGGACCATTAGAGAACGTCTCCTACTTGTCAGAACCAATCACTGTTTTTTAGACACACAATTTGTGTTGCACAGGTACCCAGGGTACAGACCCTGCCCAAAAGGAGACAGAAATGGTCCCTTAGCTGCCTGGCCCCCGAGTTCAGCCCCCAGCCTCTCTCACTGAGGGAACTGGAGCTGGAAGGATCCCTCTGGAACTCCCCGCCCCCTCCGCCTCCCCGGTGCTCCTGCTCCCAGCCTTAGTTGACCTCCCCTGGGTGCGGGCTGAGCTGCCCTGCACTGCAGGGGCTCACCTGGCTTCAGAGCTAGTTCTTTCGTGTTCGCAGTTATTTAAAGTAAAAAGTAAAAATGCACATGACCTAAGACAAAATATGGGATTTCAAAGGAAGTTTGTGGCTCAGTCTCCTCTGATCACCTCCTCCCAGCGGGCTGCTGGAATCAGAAGTCTGGGAACAGGGTCTTGATTGACCCCAGAGCCTGGCTAGGCTGGCAGCCTCCCCTCCCAGGTCCAGGCAGCTTCTCCCACCTCTACCCCCGGCCGCCCCTGCTCTGTGCCCAGCTCAGCCTCTGCCCCCAACGCAGGTGCCGGCCAGCGAGGCAGGTTCTGTCTGCACTGAGGCGGCCGGGAAAGGCTTGGTCACACGATCGCCCATCTGCACAGGCTCTAGGCTGGGTGCGGGGAGGCCCGGGTGGCCCTGCGCTTCCCTCTCTGTGCCCGCGAGCCAAGCCCTGGCCGCCTGGGCCTCAGTGTCTCCCCGGGACAAACGACGGGTCTTGATGGCTCTGGAGGGAAGTGGTCCTGCCCGGGGCCCGGGGTCTGCCGGGGGAGGGGCAGGAAGGCGCCGGGCCGGGCCAGGGAGGAGCCTGGGGCCACCCCGCCCGCCCCGTCCAGGTGCCGCCGCGAGGGGCCGCCCGCCCCCTGAGCCTGCCCGGCCATGGCCTTTCTGACCGCCTGGAAGGGGGCGGCCTCCGGGAGAGGCTCCCGCAGGTAGGGGCGGGGCGGGGCGGGGCGGGCGCGGGAACCGAGGGGCACGTGCATGTGTCCCCTGCTGGCGCGTTGTGGCCCCGGCAGAGCTAGGGCCCCATCCCCATCCCGCTTCCCCTGCTGCCACCTGCTGCCACCTGCAAGGGCAGCTCCAGTGACCTGGACCTGGGAGGGGGGGGGGGAGGGGGTTAGGGGGGAGCTGCGGCCCCTCGGCGGCGCCCCGTGCACCTGGCCCTCCCCAGGGAGCATGCGTGGAGAGGTGGGCACCCTGGGGGCCCGGGCAGGTGAGAGTAAGCAAATGATTGCCCTGCCTGACAGTTCACACTGGGGGCAGACGTGGGGGAAGCCTGGGTCCTGGTTCCGGTCCACGGTGGAATCAGATGCGCCAGAGGTCATGGTTGCGTATTTAACCAGGACCCCCTGGAGGAAGGTCAGCCCTCCTGTGGGTCACCTCCGCCTCCCCAGCTGTCCCCCCTTCTCGATGAGTTGGTGTCTCTAGATACGTCCCCTTGAGACCTTTCCTCTGAGCTGTCTTGACCCCCAACTCGTTTCCTTTACATAATGTTTGCCCTGCTACCCCCTGGCAAAGGTCAGTCCCACTGCCCTCCCAGGGCCTCCCTCTAACTGTCCTATGAGCACCTGAAACTTGGCAAGCCCTAAATCAGACTCCACATCTTCAGCCCCAAACCTGTTCCTCCTCTTGTTTTCCCATCTCAGAGGACGGCTGGCACAGTCATCGCCGTGTGCGTTATCTCTCACCTCCCTCCCTCCCTCACCTCCACCTCAGTCTCCAAGTTCTGCTGAGCTGTCTCAGCGTGGCCCATTCCCCTCGGAGCCACGCCACAGCCCCTGACTTTCCCACTTCTTCCGGTCCCCTCCTCCCATGCACCTTCAGACTGGTCTCTTCCAAAACACAAGCCAGACTGTGTTATTATTTTTCTGCTTTAAAACTCTTCCAAGAGTCTCAAGGGGGTGGGCTGTGCCCCACCCCCAGGCCTTTTTCCATCACTCCCTGACCCTCACGCCGCCCAGCAACACCAGCTGGCTCTGAGGTGTTCTCACAGCCCGGCCAGGCTGTGGGGTTGCCTCTGCCTGGCATGCCGCCCTCCACTCCTGACATTCACCCCTTTAGGTGACCTCTTTTAGACAGGCTTTCTGCCACCCCCTCACCCCACCCCCCGAGTCAGGCTCAGGGCGTTCCAGGCTCCAGCATCTTTGCTTTTGTACTGGGCGCTGCAGATACACTGTTACCTCACACTTACAAATCCCTGCTCTCAGGAGGCCATGTTCTAGGGCAAGTAAACAAGTAAACACCAGATGGATGCTGTGTGGCTCTTTACGGTTTAGAATGGGCGATGCGGTAAACAGTAAAACCCGCCGTGCCCGGAGCATTTCCAGCAGCGCGGGCAGCTCACACACAAGCCAGCGGGGTGCCTGGGGAGCAGGAGAGGGGCGAGTGGCTGAGGTTCTGAGCCTGAGGGGATCCTGGAGGCAGGCTGCCCCAAACAAGGCAAGGCCTTTGGAGGGGATTCCCATATTTAACAATGACCCCCGTGGAGGAAGGATTTTGTGCACAGGCAGGCCATTTCAACACTGGGCCACAGTCACCCTTGTCTGTCTCCCTACCGCACAACGGAGTGTAGACAGAGTCTGTCTGCCCCCAGGGCCCCGGAGCCCACACAGAACGGAGCTTAGCCTATGCTTCCAGTTTGATGAGAATGTGTTGGGCGGGGGGATGGTCTTTGAGGAGGGAGGGATCCCCTGGCTAGGGTGGTAAGGAGTGGTTGTGTCCAGATGGATTTCTTGCCCAGAGGCTGTCCTGCCTGTAAGGATTCAGCTGTGCTCTGACCTCTAGGCCCCCAGGGGCCTTCTGCCTTTCACACGTGTACATACTGCTGATGTCGCAATGTGGACGGAGGCAGGGAGACTGGAGGGGAGGCTGGTGTGATGATGCAGGACAGATGCTGGGTGTGGATTGGTAGAATGGAGGGAATGGGGGAGAAGAAACTAAGAAGGAATGCCGACCACCAGTGTGGCTCAGTGGTTGAGCATTGACCCATGAACCAATAGGTCACTGGTTCCATTCCCTGTCAGGGCACATGCCCAGGTTGCGGTGGGCTCAATCCCCAATAGGGGGCGTGCAGGAGGCAGCAAATTGATGATTCTCTCTCATCATTGATGTTTCCATGTCTCTCTCCCTCTTCCTTCCTCTCTGAAATCAATAATATATATATATATATATATATATATATATATATATATATATATATATATGGAAACTAAGAAGGAAGAACTGAGAAGTGGTGAGTAGACAGGCTGGGAGGCGAGATCCAAAATGACTAATGAAGGGAGAGGGGTGAGAGAGAGTGAGGAGGAGAGGGAGAAGGGGGATTCTGGGCAAGTAGAGTCCTCCACGTCCCTCCATGGGCCTGCGTGAGGGAGTGGGCATGAGGGACTGAACACATGAGCCGTTATACCTCAGGGAACTTGCGGAACACAAATACCCAGGAAACTCTTTGCTCCTAGGGCCCCCATCAGAACTCACACCGACACACGAACCTAAGTCTCCATTTTCCCAGCTTAGGAACTGTGACTTCTCCACCCTCACCCCTCACCCACCAGGCTTCCTTGTCCCACAGCCTGGCCAGAGGGTGAAGAGCTTGGAGAGTGTTCAGATCCAGTTCTGCCACTTATTTATTGGCTCTATGACCTTGGTTCAGTGAATGGGGCTGTGTGAGCCTCAGTTTACTCAGCTGACGTGGTGGGGAGATCCAGTGAAGTCACACTGGTAATACCCAGGCATTAGCACGTATTCTGTCAGCGATCTGCAAATGCAGGTTCGCTTCCTCCTTGCACTGGTATGAGGTAACCTCCCTCCAGAGGGATTTGCATTGGACAGAGGGGATTTCTGAGAGCTTTGAGAGCCAGTTGTGGGATTCTGGGCACCAGGATTAGGTAATGTTAACCGAAGGTCGTTGGCATCAATTTACACCAACGGGAATCCCCAAATTGGAGTGAAGTGAAAAGGGAAACTTTATTCAGTGCAAACAGCTCAATTGTGAAACAGCACTGCCCTGAAGACAGCCCTGGCACCAGCCAGCTCTGGGGCCAGGCCTCTCTCTGGCTGGACCGCTTTGCTCTGTGCCTGCATTTGTTTGCTCTGTGCCAGTCTGCTGTGCCCTGCTGAGGTCTGCTCCAGCGAGCCTCCCCCTCTTCAAACCTTTAGAGAGGAAAAGTGTGCTCTCACATCCGGAGAGGAGCTGATTTATGTAGACAGAAGTCCTTGCCCCAGGCCCATGATTGGTTCATCCTAATGCAAATGAGGATTCCAAGTCCTCCAAGTTTGATGGGTCCCAAAGGCACTGTCCTGATTGGTCAGAATGGAGCCACTCTGACTGGTGGGTGAAAAAGCTGGTTGAGGGCTATAGCTGTGTAGCTCTGATTGGATGGGAAAAGCCTCAGCCCTTTGGCTGACACAGGATTCCAGGAACTCCTTTGTAAAGGCTGAAACGCAGTGCTGGCAGAGCGTCTGTGCAGGAGGCAGGCAGCTTAGTGCAGGCCTGAGAGACCCCTGTGTAAATGGCTGCTGGGCTCTGTTTGTAAAATTTGAACCCAGTTAGCCCCCAGAAGCCCTTCTTCCTCGAGGTATCTTCTTCCCCGAGGTCCACAGTAGCCGGGAACTGTTACAAGAGGGAAGTAACACCCATGCATCTTACACAATATGGACCACCATCTACTCGGCCTACAAACAGGGCCCCTTCCCAGCCATCCCAGTCGCCCCCACTTATGGCTGCTCCTGAGGGAGACAGAGAGCACCGGGAACAAAGGGGAAGTGGGAGCAGGACGATTGCTTTAGAGAGAGCAATCAAGGGGCAGAGCTGCTCAGGAGGAACCTCTGCCCCCGCTGTGAGAACGGAGGACTGCGGGGCTGCTGTGCACACGGTTCTGGCTCTTGGTTTGAGCCTGAGCTCGGGGTGCTCTCTGATGCCACCAGGTCCGGGAGTGTCTGGTTGGCCCCTGGAGTCCTTGGGCAGCTTTGGTCTCTTCCTTGGGGCTGGATCTGAACCGGCTACCAGTGCTGGGTTTTCACCTCTGTGATTCTCAGATCCTTTGAGTTGACTATCAGGCTTGTCATTTTTAAATCCAAGATTCTACAATGTTGAAGCTTCTGAGCCCAGAATTCTGATAATCACTATTGCCTGCTAAGAGTACTTAGGAAGCAGAGAAGAGTAACAGAAGGTTTTTATGATTCTACTCGAAGCCTGGTGCATCACATTCACGTGCTGGAGGGGGAGGGAGTTGGTCCCTTAGCCTGGCCTGCACCCTCTCACAGTCTGGGACCCCTTGGGGGATGTCCGCCTGCCAGCTTAGGCCTGCTCCCCGGGGCTTCTTAGTGCTGCGGTGGAGGCGGGAGAGGCTCCCACCACTGCTGCTGGGCTCACCAGCCATGAGCCTGGCTTCTGGCTGAGCAGTGCTCCCCCTGTGGGAGGGCACTGACCACCACAGAGCAGCTCCTGCATTGAGTGTCTGCCCCCTGGTGGTCAGTGCACATCATAGCTATCTGGTCGATTTTCATATTAGGGTTTTATTGTATAGGATAGGATGGCCCTTCTCCAAGCCCCTCAGCCATCCTGGAAGGAGCCTTTCTGAAGAACTTCCACTTCTGGGAGAGCCACATCTTCCCTCCCAGGAGAGAGGGGTTCCTCTCACAGCCCAAGACTCCCAGGCTTTCCTTTCCTTTTGCAAGATCAGCCTTTCTCAGTTGAACAGCAATGCAGAAATCTATTCCTTTTAGGTAAAATCCTTCCTCCACCCTATAAATGGTTAGTTTACCCCATGTCCCCCAACGATATGGTTATATCAGGACTTAGGACCCTGGGTGGGGCATCAGGTCACAAGAAGACACTTCATTCCTTCCGATTCCCATTTTCCTCCCTGGGATGAAGTGCCCCTGCCTGTTCCCTTCCTCAGCCTCAGGTTTCCCCTCGCTCCCCGGAAAAGCC